TCCAGACCCGGGGTGCTGTCTGTGTGGAGCTTGCATGTTCTTCCCGGGTTTGCTTGGGTTTCCTCTGGGTGCTCCCATTTCCTCACGTGGTCCAAAGACATACCGGCAGGTTATTTCGCTTCTTGGAATGAGTGTGTGTCCGTGTGTGTCCGTCCGTGTCCGTCCCTGTGCTCTCTGCAATGGACTGGCATCCTGCCCAGGGTGTACCCTGCCTTGTCCCCTCTACTTGCTGGGGTAGACTTCAGCTCCCCTGCGATCCTGAATTGGAAGAAGCAGTAAATGGGTGGATGGTGTACTGTGGGAGTGATACCTCCTGGATCGCTGTTGTTTGTGAAATGAGCCCCCATCTCACAAAGTTACCAGCGTGCAGCCCCATCGTGGGAGTGTAGCATTCATAACCTGCCTGCCCAGCTCGTGGGCAGCAGGGACACAGACAAAGCCAAGTGTGATGTAATTCTTGCTAATTAGCATGTGACTCAGCAGCAGAGTGAAAACAGGGCAGCAGTGGGCATCCCCGCAGAACTGCCAGGATGCGCTGGTCTGACTCACTCTGCAGGAGATCGCACTGTTTTTTCTGGCATCAACTGTGATGCTTTACAGAAGGACGTTATGCAATATTGGTTTTATTGTGTTTATGTGTTTACTTGTCTTTTAGATGTTTTTTCCAAAGCATAGTTTCTGCCCTGTAGGTTCAGGATCTTATTTTATTTCTCTTCTGTTGGTGAACCTTGGTTCAAGCTGGATCAACACAGAAGGTATCTAAAACATGGGGGATAAAAGCCTGAAATTCTTTAAAATATAGTATCTGCACAGTGTCCCACTGGGAGGGCATTGTTCTTAATTAGCGGACTTGTCTTGAAAATTAATTTTCCTTTGTAAATAAATGCTCTCTCTCTCCAGTTTAAAAAATTTCACAAAGAAATCATCGCTGAACTGGAGAAGAAAACCGAAATGGATGTGAAATACATGACTGTGAGTAGCAGCATCACTTTCGTCCACTTTTGCACATGTACTGTTTTTGCAGAACTGAAAAAGAGAAAGGAGACCTTGCTCACAGCACGGTATTGTTAATGAAATCGTTTAGCTGTAACCAGTATGAATGAATAAAGCAATCAAAGAGCACAGTAGCAGGTTGTGTAACAAAACATAATGATGACTTTCATCCTGAAGAATCTCAAAGAGCTTTTTATATAGGAGTGGTCCCACTTCACCTCTGAAATGCAGCCCCACCTGCATGATGTGTGTCTGAGGTGTCAGCCATTCTGCACCATTAGGCCCACAGCAGGTGGAGGAGTGAGGACTTGCATCACCAGCTGAAATAAGGGGGTCATTTATGGAAGCTAGACTGCACAAGCCCAGATCAGAATTCAGCAAAGGCACCAGTCTGTAACATCCATTCTCTTAATGAACAGTGCCAGGGGACCTGTAATGACCCGATAGTCAGGACCTTGGATTAACGTCTCATGCAGAGTACAGCGCCGTCTAAATCCATACTGACACATTGGTGAGAGTGTTACTTACTGGCCCTCATAGCAGTAACCTGGTTTTCTCATAAGAGGTCTCAAATCCCAGTACTGGACAGGCCCAGCCTTGCTTAGCTTCTGAGATGTAACTACTGTCCCATAGATCATCATACTGTATGTTACTCGTAATGCTTCAGTAATGCCCAGTAAGATTCCTTCTCTCACATGGAACAGAAGTTGCAAGGCTGCGTGGAGTTGGTGACTCTAACTTGTAGCTACTAGACAAGCCACTTTTTCCAAAGCCTTGATGTGAGGGAAGTTTCTGGATTGTGGATTGTCTATGGATCGTTGGGACATACCTGGGAGCGTTTGTTTAACAGCTGGCCAAACACATCCCACCCAATGATGCAGCCCTCCACTGAGAGTTGTGAAAGCGGACACTTATTGTATGCAGCACATTTAAAATGTCAGGATGTAAACAGTGAAAAGAAAAATTGTAGGTATGTTAAACAGAACTGGGAGCAGTACTTATAAAAGCTGCTACTATAAAATGTACTTATTTCTGAGTGAGAGTCTAAAATCTACATCTAACGCTTAATTTATCTTCAAGTTTGATAAAAATGTGTCGGTTTTGTCTGTTGTCAGCCAACAGAGCCTTCTCTGACAGGCCTTTGTTGTCAATCTGTTGTAGGCAACCTTTAAAAGATACCAGACCGAGCACAAGTTGAAATTGGACTCTCTAGAAAGATCTCAGTCTGATCTGAAGAAACTCCGGAGAAAAAGTCAAGGGAAGAATGCGATCAAATACGAGTCGAAGGAAAGCGAGGTGAGTGTTCATTTGTTCATCCCTTACGTCCTGTCATTGACAAGCGTGCAGGGAGAGTGACAGCTGAGAGTCTTAGTTTCACTTGGGCTTCCTCCCCGTCACCCATCCTGATGACACCCTTAGCAACACGGGCACGACGAGGGCTGGGCGCGGTTTGCACAGCGAGCTCTACAGCATCTGCAGCAGAGGTGACGTGAACTCCACTGCTGTGATCTCAAGGATGACACTGCACATCAGGGGGGTAGTGGTTGTGCTGTGCTATAAACTGAGGGTATGGCACACGCAAACCTGCCCCACTCGGACAGAGCTGGCCAGCTGGGTGCACCCTCCTGCAGAGTCCCAGTCACAGTCATCACCAGACCTCGAATCAGCCTGTCTGGCCTACAGGACTCAACCTGTCCCCAGTCGGTGTCTTTACTGATGGAGCTACCAGAACCCCCTGTTTTTTCAGATTTGTCTCTTGACTGTCAGTATTTTTAAATGCAAGCAGCGTGCATTGATTTGATGTTTGAAGTCCGGTTTTAATACCCCTGCTTGACGTTGGCAAGACGGCTGCTGGCTCTTCCTCTACAGCGGCCCTGGGGGCGCCCTCTGGCCTCCAGAGGGGAGTCGTTCCTGGAGCAGCCTAGAGCAGTTCGACAGATCAAGCTGAGCGGGCACATGAGCTCATGTGTACACGCTAAACAGAAGGTGTTTGTGGCAGCTTGGACCAGCAGCGCAAGGTGTTATATTTCTAGGGTTACTTGCAAAAGATGATGGGAAGGAGAGAGATACTAGGGATTTTAAAACATAATAATAATAAGTTATTTCACACCACTTTGCCTGTGATTTCACCTGACTGTGAGGGTTATTTTACCTGAACTTCCTTGAGCTCATTGTCGAGCTCTCCCGGTGGATCTGCCAGTGAATACAGTCTCTGAACTTCCTGGTCCTGGGGATCTCATTCCTCCCTGTACTGTTGCTCTGCAGTTTTGCGTTGGATTGGGCTGTGAGCTGGTTTCTGACTGGTGTGGGAGGAGTTGAAAATCTTGAATTTCCTGTTTTTGTTCACCATGGAGTGCCTAATCTGTGCTTTCGTATCTAGTTTTCCTTAGTTGATTTGACATGAGATCGTCTTTTTTTCTAAAACCTTTTTCAAATGTATTTCAAATTCCATTCATTGTTCAATCCATTATTATTATAATTCTTATTATAGGTGTATTGATCTGGAGCAGGCTTGACTTAATTTCCAAATCAAGCCATGAATGAGTGAAGCAACAGCACTGTCTAAAACATTTAAAGAATATTTCGTCCGACAGGACCGGTCTGCTGAGGCGGCTGTTTTGGCTCTCCTTGCCGGTTGGTCAGCAAACCATGAAAGTGTTTGCAGTGCTGTGAAAACGCAGAGAGCTGTGAAGTGCAGGAGGTGAAATGAAGGATACAGAGAAGCAGTGTCTGTAACAGTGAGTCAGTGCTCTGTAATACTGAGAGGTGATTGAGAATGGAGGGTACCACCTTTTTTCTATCCGATAATATTATTACAGCTGTCACTGCTCAGCATTTTAATTCCTTGATAAAGAGGCTCTCAGACGACCGACACCCTGCCGCTCAGCCGGCTTGTGTCCGAGTCTGGGGCTCTGCGGCATAACAGGAGCTCAGAAACGCACAACAGGAGCTCAGAAACGCAACACAAGCTGCCCCCTCTCCACCCTGAGCCGTCACTCCCTCCAAAACAGTGCGGCGGTCTTCCACTGGACGCGGCGTCTTCTGGATTCGCGGGCTGGAAGGATCTCAGGTTTCACACAGGTTGCAAAGTTAGTGTAACAAGGGGATGTGGACTTAATGAAGTGTGGTCTCAAATTAGCACTGAAGGGAGTGGCGTCATTTGAAGGTTTCGCCGTGCATCCGTATGAACAAAACACCCTACTTTAAGTTTTTTATTAGTTTCACCGATGCCTTCAATTAAGGATTTCACTCCTGCAGTCCTCAGTAAATGGGAGTTCATCATTGAGGAGTGTCTGCAAAGGCCTAATGCCTTCCCTGAAATTCCTAAAACTCCCTAGGCTCCGTGAAATGTGCAGAATGGTATACTGAAAGGTGAAGTACCAGAATAGAGCCAAAAAGCTATTTCCACTCCAAAGGGTAGTGCACCGCAGAGCTCTGCGCTAGCCATCAGGAAAATGAAAGGCAGTCTGGGAGAGATGAGTGTGCCTCAGTAAAGCACTGTAGCTCTGACAGCAGAGAGGACCGGGCTGGGCTGAAGGGCCATCTGCGCACCTGCCTCGGTGGCAGGACAGGGCAGCGGTGGAGGAAGGGCAGGTGGCCAGTGGGGCTGGAGCTGCAGCCATGGTAACGGACCGACCGCTGTGGTGGACTACTGGTGGTCACCATGGCAACCGTGAGAGAGACACTGGGGAGTAGATGTTTCAGAAAAAGGCAAAATGTCTTTGACTTTGGGGACCACCGTACTGGTGTTAACAACGGCAGTGGAGGGGACTCAGTCGTGTGTATGCAGAGCTGTATCAGTGCCTGGATGAATGGGCACAGAATTCTCTGGAGAGTGATTTTACAGTACCAGCGTTGCACGTGTGATTATGCTCTCTGTTACTGACAGAGGTAGTGCTGGAAACTAATTAAAAGCGTTAGGGCACACAAACACCGTTCCCTACATTCTTTGCCTGAGAACCTTGTTCTAGCACATTTCTTGCTATCATAATGATGTTTACCTTACAGTGTTTGCAACCTTGCAAAAGATTACTGTAATTTGCCTGCCAAGGGTAAATGGGGGTAAAAAAGTTATTCTTTTGTGATGCTTTCATGTTTATTTTCAATGCTAGGGTCTGGATAATATACTGTACACAGCAGTGTCGAGACTGTAGATTCAGATAATAAAATGTATCATAGAAATCCTAGGTTCATTATACAGCATGCATATAATGGATCGCAGTAGGTTGACATATTCCTTTGTGTTGTTAAAAATAATAATAATGGCTTCAATACATTGACTCAAGTGAAAAATGTGCTTGTAATTGGGGATAGCCCATCCATAAGTGAACGCAGAAATTTGAGATATTGGAAATCCACTCAAAACTAAGCAGCAACAGGTTTTTTTATTCATGCTTTTTCAGGGATATGTATGTATGTTGATCTTCTAAAGTTGCAATGGGATGGCAAATAGAAAACACTGCCTTCTGTGCAGGATCTGGGTGATGCACCATCACCAAAGGCTGCTATTTACAGCTTGCCTTGAACTTTTACAGCTTTACAACAGTCCTCCAAAGCTGTTAAAGGGTTTACTAATGAGTAAATTTAGTACATGCCCTTATCATAAATTGCTCAAAGGTGGAATTAGTCAGATAAAGTTATCATGAGTCAAACCTGCATGGACAGGAGTAAACCTTTGTCCCAGCTTCAGAAAGCCTGGCTCTGTGTGTCAGTGTGATGTGCTGGACTTCACTGCTCATGTCTCCTCCTGCCCTCTCGCTCCCCCAGTGCATAGAGACCATCACCTCTCGACAGGAGGAGATCCAGAGGTTCATCGCTGAAGGCTGCCGGGAAGCGCTGTTGGAGGAGAAGAGGAGGTTCTGCTTCCTGGTCGACAAGCACTGCACATTTTCCTATCAGATCAGCTCCTTTCACGACAAGGTGAGTCAACAAATGTGTGGTCTGCATGCAGCCCATTCTCAAAATAACAATAATCAGGAAGCACCAAGCAACACAACTGTTTTCTTCCTGGTGCTCCTGCCCCTCGATATGAGAAACCTGTAATTATGATGCTGGATAATAAGAGCAAAGGTCACAATTTATCAATAAATGATAAGAGCTGTTAATAGTGTGTAAAAGTGTTGTGATTATTGTGTTTTAATGCGTTTGTCATGCAACACATTGGAACATAATAAAGGCTGCAAACGAGATGAGGCCACTCAGCCCATGTAGGATGTTTTTGTGTTACAGAAGCTAACCGGTCAGGGGATCTCAGACAGACATTTTTTTTTTTTACCACCGCCAGGGTATCATCTTCAATAACATGGCTTCAATCCAGCTTATTCCACAATCCCTCAACCCTCTGCGTCAAGACTAGCCTCTTTTTCTGAATGTTAAAAGACCACCGCATCATTTCCACTTGTCTTCTTTCCTTAATGTTTCCCTGCCCATGCAGATTCCCTATCAGTCTTGTACAAGACTCAAACAGTTCGGCCCTTTCGGTCGGTCAGAGTGGGACTTCCCTTTGAGTCCAGGGAAGTATCTGGTCACTCTTCTCTGAACTGATTCCAGACCATCAGTGTCTTTATTGTCAAGCGATGACCGATGTTTTACACGATATTCTGAATGTGGTCTTATTAGTGTATTGGACAGCTGTAGCACAACATTCCATGCCCCAAACTAGATTGCTTACAAGATACAAGATTCTGTTTGCCTGCTTTATTGCTTCCTAACGTTGTCTCAAATATGAAATTTATGTGTCAACATAAACAACCAAGTCTTTTTCATTAGTAGACTATTTTGTGTAGTGGTTTCCTATTTTATATAGCTATAATTTGTTTTTGTTTTTAGTACCTGTATGTAATACCATTTGTTTAAAGTGCAAGTAGGCAATGAATCAATTTCCTTTACACTTAGAAATAAGTAACATACCTTTCCAAAAATATGGTTTAAATGGGCAAGATGTGTTGAATTTCTGTATGACATGGGAAGTAAAAAAAAGATGCGGCAGAAAATAAGAACTGGTATCAAAATAAATGAATCTGTTATTTTGCTTTCCTATTTTCCCACCCTTCTTTTTTTCCTCTTTTTGTTTTTCTTTTTTGCTGCGCTTAGAAATGGGGACATTGTTAATGCTGTCATTAACATCCTTACAATCAAGTATGAAAAAAGAAAATATTGTAGCACTTTCAGCTCCTTTTGTCTGCGGATTAAAACGAACACACAGCCAACACAATTAGCTGGCACGGCTTCCCTGGCTGCGTCATTTAATTCTGTTTTTTTTTCTTTCTTCTTCCTTATGTTTGAATTGCCTTGCTGGCGCAGGCCAGAGACGCGCTGAACGCGAAGCTGCCCTCCTGGCAGGAGAAGTGCTCCGATGCCACGAAGGTGCCAGACAGCGTGCTGAGCATGATCGAGGGCCTCCGGACGCCCGTGTCCGTCACCCCGCAGCCCTCGCCGGTGCTGAGCCACTCCAGCGCGGTGAGTAGGCCGGCGCGCCCCGGCTCTGGCTCGGATCGCGCGGCCGCCGGCGTGCACTTGCTTAACGGGGGTCCGTGACGGGAGCTGGGGAGCCGGTCCGGATCTCGCCTACGGATTTATATCTCGCACCCGGGACTTCCCTTTGCGCATGCCCTCCTGCCGCCCAGTCCCTGTCCACACCCTTGCAGCAGCTCCCTGGCTCATTCCTCGCGCTGGCGGGGGGGCTCAGGCGCAGGCTGCCCCCAGCTCGCACTCCGCTGTGTCGCATCCATTCAGCTGCAGTCGCACTACAGGTCCGGGGGGCTGGGGAAGAGCCCAGCAGAGAGGCCAGCGAACTCCCGCGCGGTTACTTCTCTGTGGGAACACAGATACTCTCATTACAAAAGACGGAGCAGGTGATTTCGGTTAAAAACATGTTCGACTTGAGACTCAGCTCTGTCTTAAGTAATACATGTTTTTGAAGAGAGGGGAATTTACATCACAAGGAGAATGAAAACTAAAATATTCAGAGGATATCCACAGAGCTGTTCACGCCTATTCTTAGCTGAAGGAGATGTGTGTGACTTAAGGACTAGAGCACTCCGCCTTTTGCTCTGTTTGCAATCATTAAGAATGGCTTAACATATTGGAGAGGATGGCCAGATGGGATTTCAGAAGGTTTTTATGTAAATGTAATAAAACATTTTGCCTCTTTGAGAAGCCAAGATTAAAAAAAAATTGATCCTGGTGTAATTACTGTATTTGCATTCTCTAAACTCTAGACCAATTTCTAAAGCAATTTTTTCTTCCTTGTATAACTTTGTGTACAGTAATATCAGTCACGTTCTCACACAGTCCCTCCTGAGCCGCAGCAGCGGATGCATTTTAAACTGTCCATTCTTTGTGTCTAGCAAAGCACCGACGTGCCAAAGCCGCCCCCTGCGCCCCCACTCAAAGCCCAGACCAGCCCCCTTGTGGATATGTTCAGCCCTGCTGCTCCCAAGGCCTCCGTGACAACACAGAGAAGCTCAGGCAAGTTGAACCCCAAAACTGACCCCTCCACCTTCTCTGATGTAGCGGGCTGCGTGTTCAGTCTTCAGTTATTGTATCTTGGGATGTTCAGCCTTATGACAAGAGTCCTTCGAGTTCAAATGGTATTTTTGGCTCACTGAGGAATAAATCCTGCAGACTCCCCAGGTCTGCTTGGATAATATTATCTTTTACCATTTTGATATCACTTAAGTAAACCACCCCGATGGGGAATAAGGAACCTGAGGGGCATGGTTGATAAGAGGAGACACAGACAGCTCTCCAGGTCATGGCTGATTCAGGCCGGCATCAGTTGACATTTTACTGGTAGAGCCATTGAGGGCCCACAAAGTGCAGTAGTTTTTTTTTTGCCGTCGTACTTTGCTGAAAACCTCCGCTGCTCGCCGCCTCGGAGAGTGAACCGTGCCGTTGTCGCCCGCGACAGTGAGCAGCGGCGAAGACGGCAGCCTGTCCAGGTCCATCTCCGTCTCCACGGGGCTGAACATGATCAAGCGGCCGAAGGTGAGGACCATCTTCCCGCACACGGCCGGCAGCAACGACACGCTGCTGAGCTTCGAGGAGGGCGACGTGATCACGCTGCTCATTCCCGAGGAGAAGGACGGCTGGCTGTACGGGGAGCTCGACAAGACCAGGCAGTAAGTCCCTGCCCCTGCGACTGTGGCGCCGTCTTCCTTCTGTTACACTGCTTCATTCTGACGTTGGTTATATCTCATTGAATAAAAACCGCAGTCTTCGGGCTTTGGAAGCTGCTGGCTGTGTGAGCAGCCTGAAGGCTCCCCAGAACCTTTTTTTTTCCTTTCTTTCTACTTTGATCTCTGCTGCGGAATTAACACCTTCTTGTAGCCTTTCACCTCGCCCTCTGACGCAGCTCCCCCGCCCCAAACCCGGTTTTTCTCACCCTCCTGAGATGCGGACTGCCATCGCCCTCATTCTGATTGCTGTGATTGCTCAGCAAGGGCTGCCTGGGAACACATCTATACTGGTGAAGAGCTGTTCTGAGACTGCAGGTGTCTGGCTCAATGGATGCAAAGGCTCCATTTTCTCCTTACAACCCAGACATCTTGTTTTTTTTTAGATTCTTGAATGTATAGTGAAATTAAAAACAAATGTAAAGAGGTACACTTACATGTTTTAAGTGCCTGAGGGGGGAAACACTTGTTTTTTTTTGTGAGAGTTATTCAGCTTTCTTGGTATGCCTGCGAGATTCACCTGGACGTGCTTGAAACGCCAGACATGACATGCCTACTGATGACTGTCACAGCCCGGTAAGGAGCAAAATAATTACGGAGCTGTGAGAGCAGCTAATGGTGTTGGCAAAGGCAGAGTGCAGCACCTGCCTGTTCACAAAGCAGGCTGAGAATGTGTAGGTGTCAGCGGAGGGCCATGGCAGACAGCTTCACAAAGGGGGTTGCAGAATGACATTTGCAAATGTGTTTTTCTTTCTTTCGTGCTTTAATTTGGAAAACAGCATTTCAGAGGCCGTGATGCTTTGCAGCATTAATAAATCAGACAACTTGGAAAAAACAGGGGCCAGCCTGCTCTGCTCCTATAATAGTCGCAGCGGACCTTTCTGGAACTAGGACTCGCTTAACTGCTTCATCCTGTAGAAGAGCTTGGGACATGGCGGCTAACATCAGGCACAAGCAGAATCCAATCGTGTCTGGTACTAAACAAGTATCTTAAAAGATTAAACAAAATCAGTGTTGTTAATTGTAATAGGATGCTTAACAATTTTGCATTTTCTGCTGCATCTGAGCACGTCCTTTGAAATTTAAGCTACAATACCAGCTTTGTTCTGCATTACAGTTTTTAGATGTTCCTCTTGAAGCGGAGCAAAGCAGTCCTACACATGTAGATTACTCCCAGTCTCAGACATTCTTGTATGGAGTTAGCAAAGACTGTTCTCCCTCTATGTTTTTCCCTTTGTTCATTTCTGGAAAACAGTTATTTTATTTCTTTTTAATTTCATATAGTAAGATTTCTGGATATTTTAGGTATAACTGGTGTAAACCAGGTGTAAACCATAGGCAGTATTGACAGCATGAACAACTTTGTCATCCTTAATTTTCATTAAGACTTTATTTATATCGGCTTCCTTTGCAAAGTACTGTATATTCAGAGGTGAAACCAAACATAAGCTGCATTGATAATTCAGAGTTCGAAATTCAGAAACAGAATGACTTAATAAAACATTTAAATACTCATTAAAGCACCATTATGTGTAAACATCCTGCTGAAAGCTGTATACATGTATAAATAATTCATTTAAAGTAAATAATGGGATGACTCTTTTGAGCACAGTTCTCCTCACTGCATCAACACCTTGCTGATATTAATATTGTATAAAGTGCACAATTTGTCAGAACAAGGTCAACACCTGTCTGTAATTTGCTTCATCAAAAACAAATGTCCAGCAGTGAGCATTTTTGTTTCAGGTTTTGAAATTGTGCTCCAGTTCAATTTAAGCTTCCCTAATTGAGGGAAATGTTAATTGTATGGAAAGGCAGACTCTATCTAAAATATTAAATTATTGCAGAAGCCTCTCCAGTCTGGGGTTAAATGTGTGTTCTTCTCCATTTGGAGACCAGTAACATAAGATTCCTGCAAAACAATGTTACTCTGTCCATTTTTAAATGTTTGGCACGGGGTGTTTCCTAAGAACACTCTTGTGAAAAGAAATCACTGATTAATGATAATTGAATATCTCCAGAAGCATTAGTGGGAATCAGTCTGTTAGGCTTGTTAAGGCTTGTTAAAAGCACAGAAGCAAACAGCCCTCCAAAGTAAACAGCATCTGCTCGAAAAGAGACAGTTTCTTAGCAACCAGTTTTTCTTTGGAGTCTTCAGACTGATTTGGAGATGTACTGTATGTTTTATAGTTGTCATTACATATTTTGTAGGGAACTGTCAAGCTTTTTCAACCCATTTATTAAAACTGGGAACTTTTGTGACTTTGTGTGTCATACAGAAGTTCACAGTTACATATCAGAAATTTATGGCTTTCACCACCAGAAAATATTTGTTTTGAATATGCCTCACATATTGACATATTGCTGTTTAAGCAATAGGAAGAAATGTTGAGTTTGTCAGCATTAGTACCTTGGCCTTTAGTCCTGGACTCTAAAATTTTAAATAGTTGAAATTCTGCAATGTGAAATGATGTCTTCTTATTGCCAGGACAGTGTAAGTTTCACTCACAAGTATATTGAATTTTACATTGTGACATTTTTTTGTTCCTGTGGAACTCTGTTACTGCAGTTTGTATACAGTAACTATCCAAGTGAAATAGCTTTCTGTTTTATTTGTTATTTTTTTAATGCAATTATTTTAAGTGACTTTGCAATTACGCTAAAAGGCTTTCCTGTGACATTTCTTAGATTTGTCCTGGTCAGTAAACCAGGGTTCATGCTCTTAAAAGCTTGAACAGGATGTTAATATCCATATTTTAAGGTGCACCTCTTTCCACTTCACTGCTAAACTCCCACAAAGGCTAGATGGGTAAAAAAGCCTTCTCTCATTTTTAAAATCTTTGTTCTTATGGGGATAAAGTTTGGAAATAAGTGTGAAAAAGAAAATGGCTCTCTTTCCACATTCTTTTCTGTCTGTTTACAAATTCCTACATAATTCTCCATCCTCTGGGAATATAGCACTGGCCGTTGGTTTTATATAGATATTATGTCCGTTGGGTTTGTATTCTCCCTGTGCTGCTGATGCTACACCTGTGTTTTTGCAATGACCACAACATTGATGGGGGTTCTGTGCAGGTGATTGTGGGTCTCTAATGGCCCTGCAGTGTCAACAGCGGACCAGCTGAGAGACGTGTTGTGTTCATGACAGTTCCATGGACAGTATTTCTGCAGGAACTCTTCGCCACGTACAAGCTGGGGGACCTGCATGCACCCATGTGGGCTGCACACACTCACTCTCCTTTACTTAGACTGCCCTACGCCCAGTATAGAGACCCTCCTTTCCGTAAAGACTGATATGGTTTGGCTCCGCGGAGTGTAACATTTGTCATCTGTCACCTTTTTTTGTTTTGTTCTGCTGTTATCAAGGCGCGTCAGTCTAATACATGCTGTGATCTGTCTCTTTTACAGGAGGGGCTGGTTCCCATCCTCATACTGCCGGCCTTACATCGAACCGCTGGGGAGCAGCAGGTAATCGATCGATGGATCAATGAATGTGGGCACAGTGGAGAGGAAAACAAAAGAAAAACCCTCCCTGGGGAGCAAATTAAGTTATACCACTGAAGTAACTGGGGTGTCCTGGCACCCTGAGGCCAGTTTTCCAGGTTATGATTCTGCAGGCAGAGAGAACTTGCTTGCTCCTTGTTGTATCCCAGCGCCAGGATCCAGGCAATGGGAAAACAAAATAAAAGAGATGGAAGAGTGTGTTTCAGTAAGGTGGTGGGAGATCAAGGTTCACAGTGAATAAAGTGGATACAGTCCAAGGCAGCTGTCAGCTCCAGCCCTCCCAGTCAATAACTGCTCAGAGCTCCTGGAAATGAATGCCATCATCTGCTTCGCAAGCTGTGCAATTTCCTTACGTCTGCATGTGCATTGCTGAAGGACTGATGTCTCTTTTTCTTCGTTATCTAGACACAGTGACCAATTATTAGGTGCCACATCAAAGAAAAAATATTAAATCATTCTTGGCGTCATTACTAAGTTGAAAGCAAGTGCTTCCGTTTTTCAGAATCTGTTTCTTTTTTTATATTTCCACATTCCAGAATAAATATTCACTCACCTTAGGTTCAACATTGCCTGGACTCCGTCTAAAAGTGACGTTCAGGTGACTGATTGCTGATAGCTTCCCCTTGTGGGGAAATATCTTTGATTATTATAGCGGATTACACCTGATTGGACATCATTAAAATTAGAAGAAAGTATTGTTGGAAAATAACAGGTAATCTGATCAAAACTACAGTGGGAAAGGCACCAAGCCTACAGTTTGTGCCTTAAGATGAAGACAGAACTAGGGTTAACACATCTTTTCCTATTGGCAATCGCAGTGAGGCAAAAGTGGGGATATCTCATGCTGATAGTTTTAACGGTTTTGGTCAGGTTAAATGTTTAGAATATAAAAAACAAGTGCACCTGCAATCGAAAGAAAGCTCTTGTTCTGAGTATGATTTCAGAATGCTTCTCCTATTCAGCCTCACTATCCTGCGGTTCACCTTGAATTCAGAAATGACCACTTAATGTGAAAATGGAAACTTCAAGGGTCAGAAGGTTAAAAGCGTCAAACAAGAAAGTTTGAAACAGACCCCTGGAAGTGTTTGCTTTGCGTGCACTTATGAAAGCTGCTTTCCACCACAGTCGCCTGGAAAGAATGTTCTAAGTAAGCTGACACTTGGTTAACCCTCCTGAGGTACTTCTGCCACTGGTCTTCGTCGTACACAATGTGGGCACCAGTGTGGAGCCCACATGCACTCTCCTGTTTCTTATCGACTCTCTCTTTTCAAGGAAAAATGTGAATGCCAAACATACAGTACAGCCACTTTCATGTCATTACAACGACCTTCCTTTACATACAGATGTTTATGTTTCTCTCAAGAAAATGTAATTTGTATACATGTATGTGTTGTTCTTAGAAATGCACTCAGTACACCAAGCAATGCTGTTATTTCTGCTGTGGGACGTTCAATAGAAAACAAAATACAAGTGAAAAATACAGCTACCTTAAACAGGTTTTGTAGGAAAGGGCAATGTAACCTACTGTTAACATTTACAATAATTTTGTTATGGTTGAGGGTCTGCTTGGAAGTTTACAAAATTTGATATTTCTCTCAGGGATGCATGGATTTGGGGGAAAAGTTGCAAAGTTGTCAAAGGTTGCTTATTCCAAAAGCTAAAGGCATTCTTGCCTAAAACACATCCTTTCTGTTATATCAACAGCTGCTGCTATTTATGGGACTAAAGGAGCCATTCCTTTGAGGATATTTAATTTTTGGGGGGACTGGCAGTTGTTCTTGTAATTTAAACTGTGTTTGTATTCAGACTAATATCATGTATAGTACAGTATATGTAATGTTTCAGTACGATCCAGGAGAGTAATGAAAAAGTCCCACATGGACATTAGCTATGGCATGCTGTCTATCTGACTGTGTGCTCTGTGGCGTATTGCAGCACAACTGAGGTCACTGGTGTCTGATGTGCTTTACTTGGTTCAGGTGCACTGTGTTCTTGCAGCAAGAGGACAAGAGTCAGGCTCGGGTCTGGCTGCACTGTCTGGGGTTCGAGGACAAGAGTCAGGCTCGGGTCTGGCTGCACTGTCCGGGGTTCATGAGTTCCTGCGATGTGTTTTCTCCTCCCCAGCAGCGTGACGCCAGCTCGCAGCGTCAGTGTGGCCAACCTGGCGGACCAGGACCGAGGTGCCATGGTTCTGCCGCCCCCAGATTACAACGACTCTTCGCCAACGAGGACGGCTCCGTTCAAGAGCACCCAGTCTTCCCCCGAGCACACGGTGAGTACTAGGCCAGCTGTGCCCCTTGGTCAAGTTGGGCTCCTCCGAATAACCTGCTTGGGGCCTTTTAAATCTAGTCGGGAGGACCTTTCTGGTAAGAATTCACAACATACAGCCCTTCCTTCCTATTCTCGGTTACTGTTATGCACAAAAGGCCACCCTTCAGTTCAGGTCAGTGTATTTGTCATCTGCACAAGTGCAGTGAAATGCTTATTTGCATGTGTGATACAAAGACATTAAGGAAGTGCCAGAAACATAAACACAGAACAGCAGCAGCAGCAACAACAACAACAAGAAGTTAAATAACATACAGTTTAAAAAAAAATGGTCGGACAAGCAGTGTGAGAAAAACACATGACTGTGAGCCCGTGGAAGGGGTAGAGTGCAGTAATCTGACAGCCTGTGGGAAGAAACTGTCTCTGAATCTGGAAGTCTGTGCCTTTATGCTCCTGTAGCGCTGAGCAGAGGAGAAAAGTATCTTTAGCAATACTTCCAGCCTTCCTGAGGCAGCGAGCTGTAAAAACCTCCTCTTTTCCAAGTGATAAGGGTGAGGGTTACACCTGACCAACAATCCTGTGTTTGCTTTTTGTGTTTGTGGTGTTTTGTCTGCAATGCAAGGCAAATTCCTGTAAGGGTAATAAAGTATTATGAATATTATTATTACGAAACGTACTCTGTACATCTTATATGCGCACTTTGTACAATTTGGCTGGAGTGTAACTAATAAACACAAGCTCCAGTCCTTTCCAGGTACAGTTCACAGCAGGGCCTTGTTGTCATGTAATCTTCACCGTGAAAAGTTCTAGAGCTGTTGATGTGATACAGCCATTTTGTATCACGCAGTGGAAAAGGGCAATGCAATTAATTGAAAACGTGCACAGGCGAATACGTTTCTTTACTATTTGAGAATCTGAAGCTTTGCTAAGCTTCAAGGTCAGAAGCCCTCTGACCATTTTTTAGAAATTCTATACAGCACTCAAGATCCCAGAATTCAATGGTGTTACATTCTAGTGAAGTGTAGCATTTCTGACTTGCATAGAACTTAGACTTTAAAATACTTAAGGATACCTTCCTTGCTTGCTTTTTAGCTAAACATGGCTTTATCTGATGGCCTGTTTGCTGGAGTTAATCTTTCACAGCAGGAGGTATAATCAGAGAAAGTGCAATGTCCTTCCTCTGTATTACTGTAATGCGCAGCGGGAGAGATTGAATATTGGCTGTGTGATCTACACTAAGTCACAGTTTCCTAGAAAGTCAGTGCTAAGCCTTGTAACAAGACACAAACACACATGCCCTCACTCTGCAACCCCATGTCTGCCACCCCTCCCCTCCACAGCAGCCTGTGAAATATTGATGATCCCAGAATGCTCCTGTTCTCTCTGGCGAACAGCCTGCTTTTCAACTTGTGTAACAAAAGAAAGGTGACGTCACTCTGCATATCCGGGGCCTGGCTTCCTCGTGCTCTGGCATTACAGCCCTGGTGAACTTGAAACCTCCGAGTTCCTGCCCTTGAACCAGTGAGAGTTCTGCTCTGTGGCGTAATGGTTAGTTGGCATTCGGGAAATTCAGAGCACCTGTCAAGACTTTCTTGGGGGCACAGACGTGTGTACTGTACGTTCAGGAGCTTTGAAGAACATAATGGGAGGTAGAATGTGAAAAGAAAAGAAAGTTAATCCTTCCTGTCGGTGCCTGTGTGCCCTCTAGATCAAAGATCAAGTTCTCCTGTTGCAGGTAAAGCAGCCCAGTGCTGGGGAGCCATAGAGCTGCGCCTTTCGTTTTCCTTTTTCAGGCTGTGATCTGTGCGGTTATACACAATGCAGGACTCCGCTCTGGGCTGCAGTTTGTGGTAAAGAATTGAAAAACAACTTTGCCTAACTTCAAAGATCGAGTCTGATCCTTCACCTGAGAAACAGTTGGATATTTTTTTCCCCAATTTGAAAACTCTCACTTCTTTATATAGTAGTGTTGCATGCTTTGGTGGTGTGGAGGTCAGCGCTTCTGCATAGCTGCCGGGTCCTGGGTTCAGTTGCAGACTGGGCTGCCTTCCCTGTGGATTCCCAGGTGGATTGGGCTTGATTAGATTAGTTCACGTTGTGTATTTATTTGCTCATCATTGTGGTGTAGAGAGAGCTGCATCTGAATACTCAGTCAAGGGGCTGAGTCATGTTTTCTAATGAAAGCATGCCGTGCTAATGAGCGCCTCTTTATCTCGATATCAGCATGGTGCAGAGTGCTGGGGGGCCATTCATCCCATAGTTCACCTTGCGACAGCCTGTCTCATTGCAGGCACAGTTATATGGGTTAATGCAATTGTAGTTTACCCATTAATAGCATTCCTGAGGTAGGATCTTGTTGCATTAACATCTTTATTGAAATCAATAAATAATTATTCCTTTTTCATCCCAAGCAATCCACTGGCGTTTGATCACAGCCAGAAAGGGGGCATGTGGCAGCTCTGGTTGCCAGGCAGTAGCGCAGGGAGAGAGGGAGTTCGAACTTGGCAAACCAAAAGAGGAGTTTAGCCAGAACAGTGTGCTAAATGGCCCTATTCATAAGAATGTTTCTTTATGCATGAAAAGGACTGGCGTGTTACTATGAAAAGCTGATGAATCAGTTACTCTGCAGTGAGTGGGAGCCACACCTGCGGCTGTGGTACAGAGGAGTGCAGGATTTCAGTGGCTCGTCTGTGGCGTTAACTGCGGCCCCCTGAGGTGTCCGTCCGCTTCTCTGTGTCGGTTCTCCGACAGCCTGTTATATCACAGCTATTGCAAGAGGCCAGCTTGGTGTCCACGTTGAAAACGGGGCGCCCAGCTTGTAGATGGCCTGGGAGCAGCGTGTCTCTGCAGGGGGCGGGGGACGGGACCTCACAGGGGTTCTGTGTGGGCAGGAGAAGGTTAGCTTTTACCTGTCCCCCTCCCAAGGCATTTGGAAAAGAGTCCTGCAGAGCACATGTGCTACTACTACTCCGTCTGCCTTGGAGGTGTCCAATGGCTGCTCCTGCCGGTGAAGAGGCAAGAAGGAGGGGACTGGAGATGCTCTGTGCTGCTTTGGTCTGGACAGTTCATTCTGTGTTATTGAAGTGCTTCCTTGGATGGGTTTATTACTGTGCTAGCAGGGCATAATTATTTTTATTCCACTTGCGGTACTAGTGAGGACAGTGAGGTGTGATACAGCACAGTCCTAAACAGCTGGCGCTGCATTCTGGCTGCAGGGCTGGCGCGTTGGAAAGTTTAAAGTGTCCCTCAGCGATAATTGCTGCTGCGCAGGTTGTGAGAAATATGGTCTCGTGGAGAAAAGGTGCTGGGCACAGCTCCCAGGAGCCTGTCCTCTCCCAAGGTGACTCTGCTCTCTGGCTCTCAGAACCAGACTCTGGATATCCCTGGAGTTAACGCTCAACACCGGCCCCGACGTCTTGTCACTCCCTGGCAAAGCCTGCCCTCTACTGGTGGACTGGTCACAGTCTGGCCGTCATATTAAATCACTTTTCATGCCTTCCATTATTAACTAATAGTGTTGATACCTGTATTCATGTTTATCGGTAAAGACTGTTACTTGTTTTTTTTTTAAAAAAAACGTGTTTGCCCCTTCCATTGTTCGGTTTTGGCTTCATGATTCCAGGTGTTGCGTGGTACACTTGGTGGAAGTAATCTTGCGTTGGGATTCCAGTTACTGGTGTCGCAGAATACATGAACTCTTCTCTTCTAGCATTTCATCCTCCTAATAATAGATGCTCGATATCCTGGTGTGATGGAGCCTGAACAACTGGTGACCTAATTATACAGTCTTGAGGACAAACGTTTCCGAAATGATCAGGGGGCAGTAATTTAAATTAAGGGGAAGAGCATTTAGAACCGAAAACAGATAACACCTATTTACTACTTGTTGTTAAAGCTAGTATCCTGGCTGCTTTCTTAAAAAAGCCGAAGGAGACCTAGGGATTAATCTGCTACAAGTAACCAAACGCCATCTATTTGAAATCTTTCTTGATTTATAGTATTTTGTGACCTACTGGATTGATAAACGTTCTGAAAATTAAACAAGCTTATGAAGAAGTTTTTTTTAACAAGTTAGTCATGGACTCCTCGTTTTTCTTACCATAAAATGCTTTGAGAAGCTACATTTAAAGGTGCGATATAAAATAAAGTTGTTATTATGATCTATTTTAATTCAAATTGGTAACAGCAGGGCAAGAAGGGCAAAAATAATGATGGAAATTTAAGTACTTTGTCATTTTGTATTTGAAGTGATCATCGGAGGTACTTTAACAGTTCAGATTAAATGAACGAGTATTTCAAGAAGTTTTAGATTCCTGAATGATGATATGCAGTGATCTGGGATGTCCTGAAGGAATGTGGGCCCATCTCTGCATTTCCTGTGACTGGCATGCAGAGACACTGCCACATGACCCACAGCTTACTGGCAGGAGCAGCCCAGACATGAGCCCAGCTTCCCAAAATATCTCATTCTCTGTGAAGCAGTGTAGTAGATAGATGGGCTGAGGGTTCAACACCATCATATAAAAAGCACATTCAACATTGAACACGCATAAAAGCATAACTTAAAAATCACTTAAGTTGCATAAAATCAAATAGTGGTCGGAGAATCATCACAACAGTACATGCCATGATGAATAAATGAATTAGAAGTGGGTGGAATACATTAAATGCCATCATTAAGCAGTTTTATTGCGCAGAGAACAAAGAATGTCTTATAAATGCTTTTGCTCTTATGATGTGCTGTAAGTATACCTCGAATTATAAGTGTAAGGAAGATGCAGGGTGCAGGAACGAGGGAAGAAAAGCAAGAGCAGAGCAGTTTGGAGGAGAGAGAGGGAGCTGAGCTGAGCTCCTGCTGCAGTCTTTCCTCTGCCCTTGTGGGGAGGTCCTGTGTCCGGCCTGCCTCAGACCAGCTCGGGCCAGGTCCCGGGACACGCGAGGAGTCGCCGCTCGTGTTTGGTGGTGCCCGGCCTACCCCAGCCCGCAGTGTGCTGGGTTGCAGGCCATCCAGGGACAGGCTTTAGCCCTGAAGCCCCCGGGGCTCCTGGTGACGTTACCCGTCCGCAGGAACGTGGGCTGCGGTGCTGATGACCCGTCTCGTGCTGTGTTGCAGGTGTCTGAACCCAACGGCATCCCGAAGCTGCCTTTCCTGGGGTGAGTGTACAGCCTGGAGCTGCTGGGGGGGGGGATCAGTGAGGCTGGACTGCTCACGAGGGGTCTTCTCTCCACAGGGGGGGTAACCCATTTACCACCGTCAAGCTGCGGCCCACTGTCACCAACGACAGGTCGGCCCCCATCATCTGAAGGCGCGGGGAGCCTGTATCCCCACGGCGTGGGGCTCCCCTGCTGTCGGGTGTGAGCTCTCCCACAACCGGAGCCTGCGGGACCCTCTCGCACCGCGACACCCGAGGACAGAGGGCCTGCGTGTGGCGGTGTGAAACAGGGCCAGAGCTATATTTTTAAGAGCTTTTTTGTTTTGTTGTTGTGAATAACTGTACACAGGTATAGGATCATGACTCGCGGACAGAGGTCTGGACAGGGTGTTGCATCAGACTTGTACATTTTATTTCTTTGGAGAAAGTTGAAAAAAACACCTGTCATCGTATGAGTGTACTTGAAGACGGAGTAGACCATATATATATTTTTTTTTGCTTGTTAAAAAAGTCTTTATTTGCCATAGTATGCTAGACAGAATATGCTGTATGGGATATGGAATTATTTTTTTGCATAAATGTAAATATAATATTTAGGATATAAAAAGTTTATGTTCTTAAAAGTTCATTCAGGAGGATGTTGTCTTGATGTTTTTAGTAAGATGCTTGGGCGCTGCCACAGTCCTTAAGCAGTTCCTTACACTTGAGTATTTCGGATTGGGACAGATATGCCTTGTGGAAATACGCGTTACAACAGATTTTACCAAAGACGTTTGCCTAATGAAGAGTGCCACCTACAGGTAACATGTGGAAGGTTTCTGTGGGGGCTGCTACATAACGAACACCGTAAAATGTTTTATTCCCTTAGACTTCAAGAAACATTATTCAGCTCCAGTCCTCATTCACACTTCTGATAGTTCATTACCCCCTGTAGCTTTGTATAATGGGAGGCATTAAGAGCAACAAACACTAGTGGTTTAAGCTTAAGTTTCTAATGTCTTCCAGTTTATAATGAGGCTTTTGCAATTAAAACAAACTTTGCCTTAAGAGACTTTCTCTTCCTTGTGATATTTTTCCCCCAAACAGCATTCCTTCTCCCTTTCTCCCACTGGAAATACAGAACACAAAGTGATAGGACCGAATACTGTGTCTGCAGGTGGATCCATGTCAACTCTCAGACCCAAATGAGAAGTGTAGATTTGCCTTTTCTGGTTTTGTTTTTTTCCCTGCTACATTTCTGATGGAGCCTGTTTTTGTGACTGAGCTTTGATGGTTGGCTGGTAAATGCATTCAAGTCCAAAGGCCAACAAGCTGTCCCAGAAACGGAAACATTCTGTTTCTTGCATAGGCGTTTTATTTTGAGAGAAAATGAGGTAGAGGAGCTACACTTGGCTAGTGATTTTTCCTCATACAATAGAATGCTTTTCATTTTTTTATATTGTTTAAATAACAAAAGTATATTTTAAACCGCTGATGTAGATTCTGTTGCTTTGCTTTCCTGTGTCTCAATGAAGATCCCAAAACTCTTGGGAAAATTAAGTGTCAGTGTGAACTGCAATAATATATTTAATAGGGTTGAAGTGAGAATGTTGTTCGATGATCTGGCTATGGCCACTTTTCCTTCATTGTTCCAGAATAAAAGCTTTCTGATGAAGCAGGGGGTTTCTATGTCCATGTGTGTTTGCTAGAAGCTGGGGTCAGCTCTGTTGCTGGATTGCGAGTGCTAAGACAGGCAAGGAAGAGGGTTCCTCTGTTACAGCGCAAGCCTGTGGCTCCAAGCAGGAGAGCAAGCGTTCATGTTGTGTTCAGATTCACTCCACAGCACTGCCGATGCTCATATACCTTTATTTACAATTATTTTCCAATATAAAAGTTTTTCCTCATTTGTGAAAGCAAGAGTAGTGAGCTTCAAAGCAAAGCAAACAGCCCTGAAGCATTAACAATTACATCTTAAGGTACAAGTTACAGACGACGCAATAAAGCATGTCTTCTCATCCATTCCCGTCATTAGCTGCTACACAGAGAACCAGATTCTTAGCATAGCACAGTGGGAAAACACAGTGATTGTCTTGGATCGGAGGAGAAACGATGGTCCAGTAGTTAAGGGATACTAAGAAACACTCCTGGATCTGACAAGTCAGGTTACCAAATTTAAGTGCAAAAAGAATTGTGCACAACTCCACATGGCTAAGGGTCATTAAGGACGCAAACATTTTCTTGAAGGTAGACAACAACCCTTTACAAAACTGCCTGGATTTTACAAAAGGTGTCCTTTATGTACTAAAAACAGTGCAGGTACAGTATAATATGGCCCCAGACCAGATGTCAGCTATTAAAAAACTACTCTGGTTTTATAAAAAAAAAAGGTTTCCTCATCTAAGTGCAAACTTGTCAGGTTGGTCTGTGGAACACGAAGCAGAGGACAAAGGAAAAGGTTCCAAAGGTTCAAGTCCAAAGTGGTTCAAAATAACAATGCATCCAAATTGAATTTTAAAGCTTTAACAATTAGCATTACCTGAAAAACTACACAAAGCTTTTGATCAATCCTGCTCACTGAGCACTGCCCCTATTCTCTTTCTCTCTCTCTCTGCTAACTAACTTTCCTAGACAGCACTGGCTGATCAAGACTCATCTCCAGCAACAGGAAAAGGACCTACTTTGCCTTCCAGAAAAGATACACTGCATACTGATGGCAAGACATCTGCTGCAGGTATTAAAAGTCAACCAGCCTTTTAATAGGGAAACCGCCAATGGCCTCGTACCTAGGCTGCCGAGACAGACAAGGGTACTTGCAATTGTATTACAGTTCAATTGCGTCAAGAAGCAAAGTACAGGGCAGAACCCGTCGTCAGATTCCTGGTTTAATCCAGAAAGACACAGGCAGAACACTGATTCTCAAGCACTTAACTCAGGGAAGAGGCACAGCCCTGCAGAGATAAAGGAGATGAATGTGTCCATACTACACAGTGACCATCGCCAGAACGTCTACCGTTCGCCAACGGTGTGGTCGGAAGCCGCAATCGCTTTCCTTTCCACTTCAAAAGCCAATCTCTTCTCCTGGCTGCAAATGAACTATTCTCCTGCAAACCAAAGGACAGTGGGTAATCATTGTTAAGCAGAACCACTTTTCATATATTTGTAATAATTTCAATTTTGTATCTGGGAGCTTTTTTTTGTTTTGTTTTGGAAGGCACCACTGACTGACCGATGAACAGAAAAAGGATTTCAGGACGGCATACACACATTAATTAAAACAGATAATCACTTGATCAATCATGTCATGCATGTGAATTGTTCACATGTTCGATTCTTTAATCGCTTGCCGTTATAACCTGGAGAGTCGATATCTTCGGCAGGAACTGCACGGCTTTTACTGACGTGCAAGTGAGAATACTTGGGGGGGGAAATGCAACAGAAGAGCAGAGGCCTGGAGATGAGCCCCGGTTTGATCCCTCTAACCGAAGGTGGCCCCGCAGTTGGGGCACCTCCTCTGGCGCAGGGCGAGGCAGAAGAGGATGCCAATGGGGAAGAAGATAATGGCACACATGATGCCCAGGCAGGTGAAGTCGTCCTCCAGCACCCCGACTCTGCGCGAAAGAACAACCAGCACGTTAGATACACGTTACCCTCTTTTACCATGAAGCCCACCTCAGTCTCCAGGGTCGGTCTTTATTACTGTTGCATTCCTGAATTGGGGGGTACAGGGCAGGAGATCAGTTCCACCCTGGCTTCCGGGAAGGACATGGATTTAGGAAAGGCACAGCAGGTGTGGCATAGCCCACTGACAGCAGACACCATGGTAGTGTATAAAAAAAACACAACATTTTATTGTAGTAATGTTGATTTCTCTGTAATTGTTCAGTTTTATGAGGAAATCTGAAATGGCTGGTGGTAGGCATTTAAGACAATGCATGCATTTTAAATACACAGATGGGAGAAAGTATACAGTAAGGGGTGTACATGCTACCTTCATGGACTCAGTCCTTCAATTATTTTGTACAGCTGGTTTTTATTAAGAAGGCACCTGGATTGCACACACATACAACTTCTTTTTCCTTCAGTGTCCATGAAAAGGACAAAAAGAATAACGTTTGTCTTCAACTGCTTTGCTCCTCAAGCTTCCACACCGTGAGAGAACAGAAGAAACGCAACACTGGCAAACAGAATCCACTGCATCTCGCAACACAAAGTACATTGCAAATTTCACCTGGCGCTACCAATTCTCCAACTGGGGCGATGGAATTAGTGGAGTAACCCTAGGATCTATACTAGGACTTCCACAGGGAAGCAGTAAAACAAGAGACAGTATTGGGATATGTAGTTAAAAGCACAAAATTTAAATCACGGGACTACAAATTGACATAATGCACTAGCAAGTGCCTGTCAAAATACTGTATACAACTTAGGGCACACTCATACAACAAGAGATAATGCTGCTGTAGGATTCTTTGCTGGATTCGGGAAGACTCCTGCTCTGGCAGGTTAAAAGAAATGAATCTTCATAGTCTCAAACAGAGAAGACTTGATTCAACAATTCATAATACTTAAAAGGCATTAACCAAGTAAAGCCAACAGAAGACTTCAGAACAGTGAAACAACACGACGTTAAGGGCTAGTGTCAGTGAAACAAGGGAAACAAGCCGAGACAAGCAGCTGGATTTGGTATTTCCTGATCACAAACTCTACAAAGCCAAGAGCAGCAATCTTGGCTTTTTCCATCTGTAGCACACAATAAAAAAACAAGTATTGATTAGTCAGGGCATATCTGGAAATAAAACACCCAGAAAACCCTTCTTGGGGATTCCTGGTAGGCAACATGACTTCAGCCAAGTCTGGAGATTCACAGCAACTTGCGGCAAGTCACATGAAAAACAGGGAAGTCGTGCGTGCCACAGCAGCAGAAAGAAAAGCATGTCCTCTGACCAGAGCCCTGTGATTCAGCCACTCAAGTTTCTCCTCCGGTCGTCAGCCGTGTGAAACCAAACACTTTCCTTTAAAAACGATCGGACTTTAGAGCTTCACAACTACATCTTCCATACTTTTCCTGAACTACAGTTCTGAGCTGGTGGAGTTGTGTGGATTCAGTATATTAAGAAAAGAATATCTGCAAATGAGAGGAGCCATTTGACCCATCTGGCATGATGAGTCGTTAGTAGCCTGTAGGCCCAACATCACATCCGGCGGTTTCTTGAAGGAAGTCAGGGTATCTTGCTCCAGACTCCCACCACCCTTGAGGTAAAGAAGCGCTTCCTGTTTTCAGTTTCCCAATGAACTCAACATGTAGTGATGACGCGAAACGATGCGTCAACATGAACACTGAGACTTTTTCCATAAGTAGCCTCTTCTCAGCTTTTTCCCCCATTGTGTTTCTGTAGTTTATGCTGTACGTGCACACCCTCCTCATCTGAGAACATCTGCAGCCTTGGCTGGTTGACCAGCTACACCAGAATCTAGATCACCGGTATAAATTGGGAACGGCTGCTGTTCTAGAACAGATCCCTCTGGTACTCCACCAATTATCTCACTCCAGTCTGGGCGCTCACCACTTATCTGTGCTGTTGTCGTTAAGCAATTCTGTCTGAACAAGGACAGTGCCCTAAAAGCCTACTGATGGGGTTTGACATTTACTGGGCCATAGGCGCCACACGCCATCCTGAGCGCCTGTGGCCAGACCTGCATCCCTGGGTTATGAGTAATGTGTCTGTATTGTTGATAAGATATCACCGGGCTCCCAGGGTGTGCTAATCCTCGTTGTGCCTGAAGCACTTCCCTTTTTCTACTAGTTAATAACGGAAACGTCATCCTCCTTAGTGAACAAGCGAAATGCCCCACCAGTGCGTCGGCCATTTCCCTCTCTTTGTCTAGAAGTTCTCCATTATTGTCCCAGGTAGGTTTGAGCTCTTTTACTGGCCTGCCTGGAAGCTCTTTCAGCCTCCTCTCCATTTCCCTCGGCCTCCCCACTGTCCTTTCCCACCAGAACTACTCCTTTCCTTCAACTGGATTCTGTTCTTTACCATTTAACAGAGCCCCTCCGTTTCCCTCATGTGTCCTATTGACCTGTTGAACCGTCTGTGATACCTGTCTGATCCATCCACACTGTTCCTGTCCACTTTCCCCTGATTCCTCCTCTGTCCCCTTTTACTTCCCTTCAGCCGTCCCCTTCTCACAGGGTGCCTTCCGGACACCGTCCCCCACAGAGCCTCGCGAGGGACGAAAGAAACCGCGTGGCTTAGCAGCGGGTCTGTGGTCTGCCGCACTCCACCAGGGCAACACACAACCTGCTCTCTTCCAAACCGCTGACAACCGCAACTGGAAACACACACCGTTTCTCAGAACTGCACACACATCCTGGGCGTTCCTCGAGCAGGCCGAGCTCAGTGCTGTGCAGAAGCACAAGGGCCTCCCTTGTGGAGCAAGACATCCTCGTGTGTGTGTGTGTGAAGGACTACAGACAGGTCACCTCCAGCCCCCAGCCCCCAGCGCCCTGCGATCTGTAAGCTGACAGGAAGCAGTGCAATGCTAACTCCAGCCCTGGCAGGCAGCCTAACAGATCACATGGCCACACCGCAGTAGATCACCTTCTGCAGGGAGAGAGAGAGAGAAACAGGTCTGTCTTACCTGCAGGCTGGGCAGCCCCCTACCACCACCACAGAGGGCTGGATAATGGTGTACGTGTTGGGGTAGTTTGGTTGCTGGCCAACAGGTGGCAGCTGTGAGGGAGGCTGCTGCGGATATCCTGCTGGGGAAGCAGAAGGGAGAGAAATCCCAGTCAGAGGCCCGAGCCGAGCTACGCATCCGCCACTTTGCTCGCAAGCAGCGAGCGGCCACCTCTGTGCCCAGGTTACACAGCTGGGGGCGGGGGTCTTCCTCCAAGTCCCCTGGAAGATGAAACCGCAACCCTTCCGAGAGCCCCCGGCACTGGGAAGAGCTGTCACCTGGGCCAGCAGCAGAGCTGCAGTCCTGGACCATGGACTGGTGGTGTGGGTGTGTGGGTGTTGCATCACTGTAATAAGCGCCGGAGTATTATTAGACCGTGTGGGCACACGCAGCCTGCAGGCGGGCTGAGGAACGCCTGGAGCCCCCACCCCCAGTGCGTAACCATGGCGATGCTGGCCGGCCCACCGCGGGGCTGTCCGAGTGCCACCTGTAACTGGCAGGAGAGGAGCTCCTACTGCAGGAGAGGAGCTCCTCCATCACCACACCGGCCAGCTGCTCTGGTGTGCAGCCATGTTCCCTCCTCGCCAACGGTAAGACACGCTTGTGTACGAAAAGACGTTTGTGTGCCTTTATCACAAAGACAACGGGTTGAAGTCGACTGCCGACTTCACGATTGAAGAAAGAAAACAAAGTTTTAGAAATACAGTATTAGAAAGGATGTCACGGCAAAGACTTAAAACAAAACAAACGGCGAGCTCAGCGCGGCGGCTGCAGGGGGGCGCAGGAGGCACGATGATGTTTTTCCCCCCAGATCCGTCAGGAGGACACCGCGCGCCGGAATAATCCGGGTCGGGTCGCGGCAGCGCGTGCTCCCGGCTCATGACCTGAACCCCACCCCCCCCCGCAGCTCGTGCGTGCCAGCTGGGGCAACTGGAGCTCCGAGCCCGCTGTCCAGGGCGACCCCGCCACCCCCCTCCGGAGCAGCAAAGGAGACGGGACTGCAGGGGTAACAGCTCCCTTGACACCGCGCTTCCCAGGTTTTTCAGAATTTTTCCAGTGCGGGTTTCGGGAAAACCGTTTCCTACCGATTGCCCCAAGACTGTGGCAGAGCCAGGAAAGAGGGAGAGAGAGAGCGCTTTGACAAGACCCGAAGATAACCGATAAGAAGAAGCCTTGACCTCTTTATGGGTGCGAATATGTAGCCACCACGCATCCAGAAAACGGCAACAAACTCGCCCCCGGCTCCCCGTGTCGGCGCGCATCGGCTGCGACCCACAAATCTAACGAGCTGCGTTTCGGAAGCGGGAGACACGTCCAGCGGGCGGACGCGCCCGGCCGGCAGAGCGGCGCCAGGCGGAGAGAAAGCCACTTGCCTCGGCCGTCGGGGAACTGGTAGGGCGGCGGCGGCTGCTGGAAGCCGGCAGGCGGCGGAATCGCGCCGTAGTTGTGCGGCTGCCTGTACTCGTAAGCCCCCGGCACCGCGTTATAGGCTGGGGGTCTGTCCTGCAGGAGAGGCTTGCTGTCCATGTCCGACGTCTGGCCGTCCTCGCTTTCCTCTTCTCGCCCTCCTCCCTCTCTCTCTCCCCAACGAGCCGCACGCTGGACTCGCCGAGTTTCCGCCTCTGATGTCCCCGAGAAAAGCGCACGAAACTGCCCCCTCCTCTTCCTCCTCCTCCTCTTCCTCCAAAACAAATGTGCGTGTGTTTTTTTTTTAAGGAACAATGAAAAAAAAATCGTAGAAAAACAGAACAGAACGGCGGGGAGGGAAAATAAAAAGAAAAGCGAAAGTTAGATCAACACCCGCCTGCACAGCGACAACTTTCTTCTGCCCGACACTCGAAATCCACCTCGGCTCTCTGCGCGTCGGATCCGACCCGGGGGGCTGCTTGGACACCTAAGCGCTGGACATTTTTGTACCGCTTTTTTCTCCCCCCTTCCTTCTGCCCTGCTCTTCTATCCTCTCTTCCTCCCCCAGATGAAAGGCTTCCCCGCAACTCTGTAGCCAACTCTGTGCAGGAATCGGCTTCCCCAGCTCGGCCAGTCACAAGACTGCGGTCATGTGACGGAGACGCGCAGCTCTCCGCCGCCGGCGGCGCGCCTGAGCGCGGCCCCGACACCGTCGCGCTGGGAGAGAAAGGTTAAGACGAGCCAGCAGACGCGCAGGGTGGGCGCCCAGGAGCATGGCCTAAAAATGACAAATAGAAGACAAACGCAGAGGCGTGATGAATGACTGAATTTAAAAAAACAACAACAACAACAACAAAAACTCGGGTCACCCAGGAGGCGCACACTTGTCCGTGCGTGCGTGCGCTGCACTTGACAGAAAACGACGCAGACATTTGTGAAACCCAAATGACATCACCGCTGCCTATTAATATCGCTGCGCGCCGGAGAGCTTCTGTCGGCGCATGACAGGGCGACAGCGAGCCTAGAAAACCCGAGCCTGCGAAACAGAGTCGTGGCAGGTAACGCGTGCCCTCAAGGGTGCCGTTTGGGACCCTTTCAGAGACGTGTGCGAGGACAGCGGAGTGAGGGTGCGGTGTTCCCCAAGCATATCACAGTGACGCAGTAATATCACTCTCGGACAAGGCACAGGTGACCCCTGACCGAGACTGTAAACGAAGTGGGTGCAACCGGGGCATTGTGTCCGAAACAAAATATCACAAATGACCAAATCAGAGAAAATTCAATATCCCGTTAACGGCAATCGGCCGTATCTTAGCCTCCATCACAGTTATTATAAAAGGGGCTCCTGAAAACCTACATCCAGCCCGAGTCAAATATACCTGGAAACACGATACTCAGGCGATCCTGTATGTTTGCTGTCAGGCTAATCTTGTTTTTGTATTTACGAGACACACAAAATGTTAACAGGCGAATAAGACCGCGAGCAAACCAGTGCATGACATTTGCGTGCTAATCTCGCAGAGGCGGGCGACCGAATAGTGACACCCGGACGGACCAATCAGAAGGGGGGCTGTTGAGTGACGTTCGCAAGGTAACCAATCAGATTGGAAGGGTCGTGACTTCCTGCCTCGGATTAGGAAGCAGTCTGATGTCAATATCTTGTACTGTACTGTATCAGTAGGTGAGGGGGCTACTGCAACCTTCTTAAAACCAGCCTTGCTCGTGTATGAAAGGCGAGAAAAGGTGAGTGCTGCCGCAGTGTAACGCGCATTGTTGTGATGCTCCATGTTTTTTTTCATTCTTATCGATTTGTTTTTAACACCTGTTCGTTTCTCACCCGTGAAAGGTGGCGGGGCGCGCAGGTGGACCGCCGGCTGGCCCTCTGCTCTTGACGAGCGTTGTTTAGGTGTGCCTTTCACGCGTTGCACGAACCTGCTTCGGTGTGGAGGCTGTATGACACTGATGCTTGACAACTGATCGCTTTAGGGTTTAAAGGAGAAGCTCATAGCACGTAGAAGTAGAGGCTTTTTTTGTAGTCAGAGGCCACATATTCCGTGTAGCCTCCCCTATTTGTGCGTTTTATTACGTCTGTCATTTGTCATTGCGCCTAATGGTACTGCTAGGTGTTGTCACGCATGACGTCAGTAACATGATCGTTTTTCTAATTACCAGCGATGTTGAAGAACTTGGTTGACAGTTGCATCTTTCCTCGCAAATGAAATGGTCTTTCTTGACTATACAGTGAAACACGTAAACTTAAAGTATTACCCGTATTGGACATCATAAGAATCGCACAGCACCGTCGTGGTCGAACGATCACCCGCAGTCAATGAACAAGTTGTGAGAGCTCCGTTGAATAGGTCCCAGTTCGCTGGATTGCATCAAACTCTGAAATACGCATCACAACTGGAGCGAATTCAAATAACAGAATCCATCTGACTGTCCGTGCGTCCGCTGTACTGGCACGGAGGGCTGTGCAGATCAGTCACTGTCCGGGCTCTGCTCTGTATCTTTGCTTACTCAAGCTTATGGCTTGGAGGCGTGGTTTTGAAGGCGCTGCGTGGTCCAGAATCTGGTTTTCCCTGCTGAATTGTTCTTCTGTTCTGCTGAACAGAGGGTGGTGGGGGTGTGGAACGAGCTGGCCAGTCGTGCTGTCCAAGGTCACACTGTAGCACCTTTCATGAAACAGCTGGATGGGATCCTGGGATCAATGAGGTACTAAAAACCACTACAGCTAGACGAATGGCTGAATGGCCGCCTCTCATTTGTGATCTGTTTTATGTCCTCTGACCTTGCTCTACACTATAAGGACAAGCACAAATTACCAGAGGCTAATTCGTCTAGCCAGGTCTGCAGTTAGCAGCTCACATCCATCTCTTTCTTGAAAGGAGCCTGTATATCAGCTTCAAGAACATGGTTGGGTAGCTTGTTCCACACTCCCACAACCCTTTGGCTAAAGAAGTGCCTCCTGACATGATGGGAGGATGTCATAAAAATGCCCACTGCAATATAAACAGTTACTCTGCGCCTTGTAATAATTGGTTAAATCAATCCCATCACCCTTGCGTGGTCCTGTCCGGACAGCTGGTCCCACTCGTAGACTGGGGATGTCCTGATGAAGGTGGAGAGGAAGCCAAGCACCACAGTGGTCAGAGCTGTGTGTAGAAAGGATGCGAGCTACACACCTGCACAGAGCAGTTCCACATTGTTGCTGCTGTTCAGAGGATGTGTTCATGTGTGCGAGAACACTGCCAAACAGCCAAGGGGAAACTAACTTCATCATATATTCATGAGATGAGTCAGGGGGCTTGAGCTTTTGGGGTTTTGCTCTTCTGTACTGTATTAAAAACAAAAGCACAGCATGTGAACAGCATGAGAAATCACAGCGTCAGTATCTCAAATGTGGTTTAGCGCGGTGTGTTCTAACCTCTGATCTCGTGATAAGGAAGCCTGGTGGATTGGTCCCAGGATATCAAGGTCAAGGGTCGGGGGGGCCTGGGCGTGGCGTTCCAGTGACGGCCCCTGTCTCCCGCAGGGCCTGCCATGCCGAGCTCCCTGCTGTGGGCGGTGGACGTGTTCGGCCGCGTGTTCCACCTGTCCACTGCGGGGCGCTGCTGGGAGCTGTGCAAGGACGTGCAGCTGGAGTTCAAGCGCGTCTCCGCGGCGCAGCAGTGCAGCTGGGGCATCGCCTGCGACCATCAGGTCTACCTGTACGTGCACTCCAGCGACGTGCCCATTCGCTACCAGGAGGAGACCTATGAGAACCAGGTAGCGCACGAGCACTGCAGAGGTGCATATTATAATTTGTCAGGTAACTGACCATGTATCAGAGAGGCTCAGCAAAGGCATCTGTATCACCTTTGCCATGCACAAAGAGTTGGGTACGGTCCCTTTCACTAGCCTAAGTGGTCTTGTAGTGCAGAGTGAAGTGTCCTCAGCTCACCCCGACTGGAGCCTTGGCTGCAGTACAGCTAAACGGCCACTAGGTGACACTATTGGACAGTGGAGGAGTTCGAAACGGGCTCTCTCGAGATACTGTATGGGTGATGTTCTGCGCCTGTTCATAACAAAAATGGGATTCAACTGTTATATTTGGAAAAGGAAACTGAATCCCGATCCAGGGAGTAAAAGAACTCCACCCTGCCTCTTGCGATCGTTGCTGTGGCTGTGTGGGCATGTCGCTCATTACGTGTGACTCTGCCTTCTTCTCTGCCCTTGTGCTGGCTCCTGCGCTCCTGGGCCGCCCCAGCGCTGGAACCCTGTGGACGGGTTCTGCGACCGGCTGCTGCCCAGCGACCGCTGGCAGTGGAGCGACGCATCGGGCCTGCAGCACCAGCCCCTGGGCGGGTTCCAGCCGCCCTCCGAGCACTGGGAGTGGGAGGCCGACTGGTTCGTGGACGAGAACTTCGGAGGAGAGCCCACCGAGAAGGCGGTGAGTGGGCCCGGGCACCCCCTGCCCCCTCTGCCCCCGTCCCCCGGCCCCCCGGCAGCGCGGGCTCAGGGCCTCTGCTCGGATCTCAAGCCCGAACGTCGGATCAGGACTGTGAAGGCATGGGGATGTTTCTGTGCTGTTGGCCAGCCTAGGAAGAGAGCTCTGTGACGGGTCTGTAAAAGGTTTGAGCAGCGGCTGATGCCTCTTGCTGGAGTGTGGTCTGTACTGCCGGAGGGCACACGGGAGTGACGTCGCCGGTGATGGGCGTTCTCGCCTCTGATCTCCTTCTTTGTCTTTGTTTTTTCTCCAGGGCTGGACGTACGCCATCGATTTCCCGGCCACCTACACGAAAGACAAGAAGTGGAACTCCTGCGTCCGGCGCCGGCGCTGGATCCGATACAGGAGGTACAAGTCGGTGGACACCTGGGCCAAGGTGTGTTCACGCCCGCCTCCTCTGCCCTGTCTCCGGCCGGCTTGCTGTTCCAGTGCTGTTCTCGTTGGGCTTTTCCTGATGTGGTTGAGATGGTTACTATCCACGCTGACTACAGGTTTTGCTGGGGTCCAATGTTTTGGGGTATTTTGCTTGTCCATTTCCCCCTACATCCAACAGGCACATTCGTCCTTCGGATGAGACGTAAAACCGAGGTCCTGACTCTCCGTGGTCAGTAAAAATCCCAGGGCGTTTCTCAAGAAGAGTAGGGGTGCTACCCCGGTGTCCCCTTGGCCTCTACCAGTCATGGCCTCCTTATAACCCCCATCTCTGAACTGGCTTCATCGCTGCTCTCCTCCCCACTGAGAGCTGGGGTGTGGGGAGTGTACTGGTGCTGCACACTGGTGGTAGTGGAGGGGATCCCCATTACCTGTAAAGAGCTTTGAGTGGAGTGTGTAGAACAGCACCATACAAGTGTATGGAAGTATTATCTCAAATGCTGTTAGCTGGAAATGCTTGTGTGTTAAGCATGCTGTTGAATGCCTGTGCCGGGGCCATGCTCGCGGTGTCACGCAGTGAAGGGTGACCCTGGGCTCTGTGCATTGCAGATCCCCTCAGAAGAGACCGGGCCTCTGCCAGACCCCTTCAATGACATCAGCTGCGGAGGCTGGGAGATCAGTGAGGAGCCGCAGGGGCGTCTCTCTCTGTGGGCCGTGTCCCTGCAGGGCAAGGTCAGTGGTCAGCGGTCAGTTGGCGGTCATCAGCGGGGCTTCACCTCCCCAGACTTCGCCTTCTGCCTACCCACAATCCCATCGCAGTGAGCGGCAGCTGCTGCACAGCTCAAAACATGCCAGCTGCCGTAAGACGCCAAGCACGAGCTCTGCAGGCCGATAGCCTTCAGAGGGAAGATAGTGCTTGAGGAAAAAAATGGAATCAGCACCGTTAGATACAGCGCTGTGTGAAAGTTTTCCCTTCTCTTCCGCATCAGAGCATTCCAGTTTATCCCAGTGCATTTCTGAGAATCAATGGAAAGGATGCGGTAAGCAAGAGTGACCAGTAGAGGTCAGCAAAGCATCACACGTGTATGTGGCTCTGCATGAGCCGCGTGGACCTCTGCTCTGACAGGTTTCAGACCCAGTGCTCCATTCTCACATGGGAAGACTGTGGCTTTGAGTGTCGCTGGTCACTTGTCCCTGTTTTTTCTGTGCGCAGGTCTGGTTCAGGGATGGCATCTGCCACCTCAATCCCGAGGGCACCAGCTGGACAGAGGTCGTGACCCCTGGGGAAGTGGTGCAGATCAGCTGTGGGCCGGGGGATCTGGTGTGGGCTGTGCTCTGGGAGGGGCAGCTGCTGGTCAGGGAGGGCATCGGCCGGGACAACCCCAAAGGTCATTGTCGGGTCATGAGCCTGACCTCGCGTGTTTCTGCAGGCTCACAGCTGTGTGTTTGCCCGCTGTCTGCAAGTCTGTCTGAAAGGCTTGTTGTTGAACCCTGACAGAACAGCATTCTCTGACGAGGGCGGCCCCCTCGGCCTTGTGTGTCATCTAGCTTCTGCCCAGTTTAAGCTGGGCCATAAATATTCTTCGTCTTCTTAGAATTTGAATGTTCTCAAAATAATTTAAACAAGGTCTTACGTCCATGTATATAACCTAATAATTGTGATTCTGTACCACACTGGAGGGCTTTTCTACTGACCTTTTCTTTAAATCTTGTAGGCGGCTTTCAGGGAGCAAGACGTTTACTCCCTAAACTGTGTCTTCCAGGCAGCTCCTGGGTGACTGTGGATTCTCCCAGCCCGGAAGTGGGTGCTATTCATGTGTCCGTGGGCGTGAACGTTGTGTGGGCTGTGACCAAGGACCGCAAGGTAAGGACGCATCCAGTGAGCCCCGCCCAGCCAGTCAGGAGACGCTTCTCCGCGCCGGCAAAGACTTGTCCTGTCCCCTGCAGGTGTGGTTCCGGCGCGGAGTGAACTCCCACAATCCCTGCGGCTCGGGCTGGATTGGCATGGTGGGAGAAATGGTGATGGTGAACGTGGGGCTCAATGACCAGGTGAGAGCCGGGAGCACAGGCCCGTGTCCTGCAGCACTTCCCCTGGGCGGGACCAGGCCTCAGACCAAAATACAGCTCCTACCCCATGAATGAAACCTCATTCCTAAAGATACAAAGCTCTCAGTATAGTTTTAATCAGCTCTGTCTCTCCCAGCTGTGTGCTGTATTTTACAGCTGTGTTTCTCAGGTGTTTTCGTGCAAATCGGTAGATTCCCTGGAAGTGTGCTTTCACCAGTAGACTCGAAGAGAAGAGCAGAACAGGGCTCATTAACACTCCCCTCACAGGGAAGACTAGGAGTCGGTCTGGAACAAGCGCTCCGATCGCTGTGCCGTTTTCCGAATAGAGCTCAGGATTCCGGGAGACGGGTGTGTCGTTTTTTCTAGAGGAGGTGAAGAATTTGTGTGAAGTTTTTTAAGCTGAAATCTCCCCGGTATGGGGCTGTCCGCTCCCCAGCCCTCGCCTCTCCTGGGCCGCTCAGTCTGCGCGGCCTCGGGTTACGCCTGGTGTGTATTTCTGCAGACCCTGTTGTTGAATTTCAGCCTTCAGACTTGCAAGCGCTGCAAACCCCCCCCACGAACCACACTGGTGCGTTTGTAACACGACCTGCGGCAGCGCAAGAATATACAGCTGGAATCTGCCTGCCCCGCCATATGTATATGTATAGCATGCTCTGCGTCTGATCACAGGGGTCCAGCACCTCTGAGATCTGCTTTCTGGCTGTGTTTGCATTACATCTGATACAGCGGCAAAGCCCCCAGCCCGCCTTCTGGTTGTCTTTTTATATCTGTGCCCTTACAAGTGTATGCACATGCAGTACGCATGGTTGTGTGTTTACACGCATTCCACTTATCCTCAACTCTCACGCACTGTAGTATTAGAACACTTATGCTCCTGTCCGAAGCCGCTGTTCAGATCGGAGATCTGCATGTTTTCTTATTTATGGTGCTTTCCAAAGTCATTTTAATGGATTTTTAAAGCCATCATTTCCCCATGAAGTCAGTGCAAAAGCAGATGTAGTAGAATTTCTCTTCCATCGAAAGGTTGCGAGTAGCAAGTGTGTGCGTCGGAGGCCGTTGTGTTGCGTGTTGTGTAGTGTTCCCAGCCCTGTTTCGGAATCGGTAGATGTCTAGAGGTCAGCAGTGTGGAATGGTTAGATGCCCGCCTGCCCCTGCCTGCAGCTGAGCTCACCCCGGTGCCCTGCGGCTCTGCCCTCAGGTGTGGGGGATCGGCGGGGAGGACCGCGCGGTGTATTTCCGCCAGGGGGTCACGGCCAGCGAGCTCAGCGGGAAGACGTGGAGGGCGGTGACCGCGCCCCGGGACGGAGACAGGTCCCACTCCAGCAGCGCCAGCAGCCTGGCGAGGTGAGGGGGGCGTTGCCCGGCCGGGGTTCCTTGGTTTTGCCCCCCCCCCCCCCCTCCCCCCGCAGAGTGACCCTGACTCTCCCGCTCAGTGCCTGTGAACAGACCGGCTTGAGAGTGGATTAGCTCACCCTTAAACCTGACTGCAATCCTCAGCACTTCCCTGGCCAAGATCCTGGAGCGTGTCCTTAGCCTATCTCCCCAGCAGGTGGCAGTGTTGAGATTGGAGGTGCCGGCAGCTGCTCACTATTTAAAGGGGTTTAACCACTGTTCACTCACCCCCACGACTCATTTGTAGAGAATGGAGAAAATTCATTGCAATTCTGAACACTCTCTGTTGGCTCCAGGCACACGGTGAAATATTTTACAGACATGTATTTCATATAGTGGGGTGGTAGGGTGGTGCAGAAACTCTGGAGCCCTGGGTTCAGTTCCAGACCTGGGGTGCTGTCTGTGTGGAGTTTGCATGTTCTCCCCACGTTCGTGTGGGTTTCCTCCCTTTTACCAGAGACACGCTGTTGGATTAATTGGCTTCTGGGAAAATTGGCCCTGGTGTGAGTGCGTACCCCGAGATTGACTGGCGGCCCGTCCAGGGGGTGCCCCGCCTTGATCCCGATGCATGCTGGGATAGGCTCCAGCTCCCCCGCGACCCTGAATTGGATCAAGCTGTTAGCGGATGGATCCACGCCTGCGCCTCATGCCTGTGAGTGTTTCTCTTGCTCCAAAGTGCCGGCTGCTTCTTTGGCGGCGAGGTGAGGCTGCCGCCGCGGGGCCCGGGGACGAGCGAGGCCGAGGCCGCCCTGGAGGCGGGGAAGCTGGCCCAGCCTGCCTCCCCGGAGTGGGACGAGCCCGCCCAGAGCCACGTGCCCAAGGTGACGAGCGACAGCTTCATCTCCGAGCTGGTCTCCGACAAGGGGCGCCCTGAGGCCAGCCAGGACCCAGGCTCCCCGAGCCAGGAGGCCAGCCGGGACCCCCAGTGGAGCAACGTGGACCTGGAGGAGGCACAGACGGACCTGGCCGCCGCCTCCACCTCCGACGCGGCCGACAGCTCCAGCCTGTCCTCCATCGCCACGTACAACCTGGGGCTGGAGGGGCCGTACGGGGCGGACGAGCACCCCCTGTGGGCCTGGGTGACGGCGGGGGGCTGCGCGGTGGACGCCCACACACAGCTCAGCTGGTTCAGCTCCCCCGCAGGTGAGCACCGGGGGCCCGCAGGCTCGGCCTGGGCGGTCTCGCCATCGCGGGCCCGTCATTTTCCCAGCAGATGTGTGATTTAATTTCAGCATCAGGGGAGGGTTTTGGGCTCGAGGGTCAGTGGAGCGAATACAGTTCGGGTTAAATTAGAGCGAGAGATCGGTGATACAGGAGAGGAGGCCGCTTGGCTTCAGCTTGTTTCCAGTAGGGTCTGGGCAGCGTGTTCAGCAGCTGTCCTGGGGCTGGGCCTTCTCTGGATCTGGAGCAGCTGCAGGGCCGTTTTGCGGAGGATAATTGTTTTTTCATTTTAGTTTTCACATTTGTCCTGGAGGGACTTCAACTTAGAAATCTACTGTCCTCTACGATGCATTTAAAACATTCTCGTGTTCTGGGACCCACTCCTGTGAATCACGCCTGTGAATATCGTTCAGTGTTCATGTCTGCAGAAGAAGCCTTTTTTGCCCCTGATTAGGAACTCTGCAGAGCAGGAAGACCCACACTGTCGAGGAGTCCCCTAGCCTAGGCATGTGAGTGACTGTTCTAGTGCACCTAGAGACGTCGTCTTCCTGCTTCATTCATTCGGCAGTGGTTTAGAATCGATATTGGAGCACTGGGCCCCTGACACCGTCTCGCCTGTCTGTCCCCCAGGGATGTCGTCTTCTGCGCAGTGCATGTCTCTGTCCATCACCCCTGCTCAGACAGCTGCCTGGCGCAAGCAGATCTTCGAGCAGCTCAGTGAGAGGTCGAAGAGAGAGATGGAGAATTTCCAGCACTATGAGCAAGCCATCGAGCAGGTAGGGGGAGGATGAGAGAGAAGAAAGGGGACAGCCGTTGTGTGATCTAGTGTGTCAGAGCTACACGCAGGGAAAGTAACCCGATAGCAACACAGACAGGTTTGGATAGGCATTGTGGTTTCGAAAACGCAGGAAAGAACTGATGTGATATGTTCACAGTTCACGTTTCAAAGACATTTTTTGCTCAGAGCTCAGCAGGCAGAAGAATACTAACAGCACGTACCTGTGTCTGTGACTGTGGCATCAGCGCTGTTTCGGCTTCTCTGTCCCCCTGCCCAGTCTGTGTGGGTGAAGAAGGGCACCATGCAGTGGTGGAGGGACTGGAAGCCCCACAAGTGGGTGGACGTGCGCATCACTCTGGAGCAGTTCTCCAGCACCGACGGCAACAGAGACGGCATCCTCTTCATCTACTACACCTTCAATGAGGAGAAGAAGGTGAGCGTTGCCCGGCCCGATCCAGCCCAGTCCAGCCCAGCTGTGGAGTTTGCATGATCCATCTAAATGGGTTTTCTCTGAGTTTCCTCCCCTCTCCAAAAGACCCACTGGCTGGCTTGCTTGAGATGTCTGAATTGGCCCTGCGATACACGGGGGTCCCGTCCAAGGTGCAGTCCCACCTTAGCCCGTTTTAAAGATCTGGGCTTCTTCTACCCTGGGCAGGAACGAGCTTCTGGAACCGGTCACCGGGGGGTTCTTACTGGTAAATCTGGTCCTGTTCACGATGGCAGTAGCTGAACCAGGTCTGGGTGTAAATCTGCAGGAAAGAACAGAAGAAGACTTGAATTCCTCCTTGTTCCCGTATTCCCGCAGTACCTCCATGTGTTCATAAACGAGGTGACGATCCTGGTGCCTGTCCAGAGCGACACCAAGCACACCTTCGCCATCTACACCGCGGAGAGGACCAGGCAGAGGTGGCCCATTCGGCTGGCTGCTCCCACCGAGCAGGAGATGCGTGACTGGGTGAGCCTGCGATTTCCCCGGCTGGCTCAGACACGTCGGTGTGTCTCAGGGTTGTGGGTCTCTGTGGATTTTGCTGGTCTTGATATGTCATATTTGTCATGGCTGTGGGGTTGCTGTTATTCTGTGGGGCGACGGGCTGTGCAGTTTCATGCTGAATTTGAGCCCTTTAGGGGCGGTGGTCTCGGACTGTGGGAGCTGCTGTCCCATGCTCGTTGACTGTGCCCGGGGGTGGGTGGTTCCTGTGCTGCTGCTGTGACTCCCGTCTCTGTGCTCTGCAGCTGGCTCTGCTGAGCAAGTCCTCCTGCGACTCCCGTGGGGTGCAAGGCCCCCCCTCGAAGCAGGCCGTCTGGTCCACCACCTGCAAGGGGGACGTCTTCGTCAGCGAGCCGTCCCCCAGCCTGGAGGCCTCGCCCTACCCCGCGCCCTGCGACCAGATGTACGCCCTCGGTCCTGCTTCGTTTCCGTCGGGAGGTTTCGGGGTGCACGGAGAGTGTGGGGTGGACAGGGAGTGAGCTTGCACAGGAAGTGTGGGGTACACAGGAAGTGTGGGTGCACACGAAGTCATTCATTAATATTGCCAGGTGTAATGGATATAAAGAAGGAGACACCCACAGTTGTATATCGGTGAAAAAACAATCAAGAGGGAAAAAAGCTTTTTGTTTAGAAAGGTGGGGTTGCAATGGATGGTCATGTAAAGATGAGCAACTCTTCTGCCTGATTTTGAAATACAGCAGGTTCATGGTGACCAGTACATTTGTGTTACTGGTGCGTCCTGTCTGCGTCCCCCATCTCGTGGGGTTTCCCATCACCACCACAGCGCCTCAGGGGTCTCTCGTTTCTTCTGCTGCTCAGGTTATGGCGACAGGTCGGGGGGCACCTGAGGTTGGTGGAGTGTAACAGCCTGGGCATTGTGTGGGGCATCGGGTACGACCACACCGCCTGGGTCCACACAGACGGCTACGGGGGAGGCTTCTTTCAGGGTAAATATTTGCACTGCTCTTGGGCGAAGGCATGCGTTCGTGGTGCTTTTCTCTTAAAAAAACTGCAGGAACACATTGTCAGCGTATTTGCCAAACCAAGTGGCGTTAATACCACAGCTTCTTACCTAATAAAGGTCAGGCTCCCCCCAGAGAGCTTGGAATAAAGCAGATCATTCCCTGCACCACAGAGAAGCTCAAAATATTATATCTGTCTCCAGGGCTTCTCAGCAGCACAGACAATATCCACACCCAGACTGATATCAAAAGTGTTTATATCTACGAAAACCAGCGCTGGAATCCAGTGACTGGCTACAGTAGCAGGTGAGGCAGCTTGCCTTTCGTATCATAAACGAGTGATGTGACGGTCTGCGCGGCTCTTGGCCCTGGGTGACTTGTGGAGTGGGTTGTTCCCCGCAGAGGCCTGCCCACGGACAGGTACATGTGGAGTGACGCGTCGGGATTGCAGGAGTGCACCAAGGACAACACCAAGCCTCCGTCTCCCCAGTGGGCGTGGGTGAGTGGCTTCGATTCCGGCGTCTCGGGTAAGAGCTCCCGATCATGGCTTCCGCAGCGCGAGGCCGTGCCACAGCCCGGTCGCACCGCCCCTGACGCCGTGCTGTGAGATGTGAAGCGCTAGACGTAAAGACGAACGGCGCTGAAGAAGCCATCTGCTGCTGGAGGCCCGGCTGAGCCACCTTGCCTCAGCGGCGCACTTCGCTTACGGCTGGGCTCCCAGGGGCCTGGAGCTTCCAGCTGTGGAGAAGGGTCTCTCCCTGTCTCTCATCAAGCTCTTTCCTGTCCCTGGACTGCTCCCTGCCAGGTGTCTGAGTGGACCATCGACTACGGCGTTCCGGGCGGGACAGACCGGGAGGGCTGGCAGTACGCAGCGGATTTTCCAGCGTAGGTAGCACCTGCTTTGCACCTGTGTTTCATACCCCGTCCGCCTCTTAAAGCAACACTTCACATTGAAATCCTAAATGTTCAGGTTTTAGCAAAGCTAGAAATAGTTGGAAGTGAAGAGTCAACAAGTTTGGGAGTCATAAAGGTATCTTGGTTGATAGTGTGCATTGCGTCTGTGTTCTTTTAAGCTTGTTTTCTCTGCTCCTTGCTGTCTAGGACCTTTCATGGATACAAAACCATGAAGGACTTTGTGAGACGCAGGCGATGGGCAAGGTGAGTCCAGCAAGTTTCATCTGTCCCTGCTGCACCCTGGGAGATTCATTATTCCTTGTGACATACCGACGTGTCACTGCGCCGGTATCAGGCCGAGACTCGAGACCTTCCCCTCTCTCTCGCCGAGAAGACCAAGCCCAATCCGCTCAACATGCGAGATCAAAGGTCAGAGAGCGGTGTCAGAAATGCGGTCTGGTTAACTTCTTGTCTTGTCCACGGCAGGAAGTGTAAGATCACAACGACGGGCCCCTGGAAGGAAGTCCCGCCCCTCCCGCTGTGGGACGTCACCCTCCTGCCCTGCTCGTCCCAGGGCGGCGCGGAGCAGGTCTCGCTCTGGGCGATCAGCAAGAAGGGCGACGTCCTGTGCCGCCTCGGAGTCACCCCACAGAACGCAGCGGTGAGCCCGCCCTCTTCCTCCCCGCGTGTCCCACAGAACTCCCGCTCGTTTCTGAGCGACTGTGCATTCCCAGGACTCCACTCCGGCAGCGCAGGGAAATGTCTCATTTGCAGAGGCCCTGGCTTGTCCGTGTCCTGCGATTTCTATTCTGGCGTGTCTCCTGTCGCAGGGAACCTCCTGGCTTCACGTGGGCACAGATCAGCCTTTCAAGTCCATCTCGGTGGGCGGAGGCTACCAGGTGTGGGCCATCGCCAGGGACGGGTCCGCTTTCTACCGCGGCTCGGTGTCTGCTCAGAACCCTGCGGGTAAGAGGGGCCGGGGGGAGAGAGCCAGAGAGCTCTGCTGCAGCGGAGGTGGTCAGCACCTGCTGGGTTAATGTCAGGGGTCGGGGGGGGCTTTCAGCGGCGCTCTGTTTTTTTAAAAAAATTGAGGATCACTGTTTTGTTTTTGTTATTTATCCCCCCGATTCGGAATCTCCGGTTGTGTTTTGTTTTTTTATTCCTCTCGGCTCGTCATGCCTGCAAACCCTTGACCCCGCCCACCTCTGGGCCACACCCTTGACCCCGCCCACCTCTGGGCCACACCCTTGACCCCACCCACCGCCAGGCCACACCCTTGATCCCGCCCGCCGCCAGGCCACACCCTTGATCCCACCCACTACCAGGCCACACCCTTTTTAAACATACGACAGGCACTGCAGCCCCGTACCAGAGGCTCTGATTGGAGGAGAGGTGCGTCTCTCACTAGTGGCACCCAGGAGGCTGAGGTGTTACTGTGTCGCTCGGAGTCATGATAGCCCAGACAGCCTCAACCCTCCCTATTTTCCAGGACTGGCTGACCATTGGTCTTTTTCCAAGAAAGAGAGCCCTGCCCTCTGCCGCAGAGTTTATACAACAGTTTGGCCATATGATCCCTACCTACAGCTGTTCTCTGTTGTTGAGCTGCCAGTCGCCATTTTGGCTCAGTGACTTGCTTCTCAGATGAGCCAAAATGGCGGCTTCCTACGGAAGCCTCCCAGGGACATCTCGGCTGCACGGTCCACTCAGGCATGAGGGTAGACTCCCTCATAACAGCCTCGCGTTTTGTTTGCCTTCTTTATTGCTTCCCCTCCCCATCTGGCAGATGGAAATGATTGTTGTTTGGCTGCGCTTGCAGGGGACTGCTGGTACCATATCCCCCCTCCAGCCCGGCAGAAGCTGAAGCAGGTGTCAGTGGGGCGCACGTCGGTGTACACCGTGGACGAGAACGGTAAGCAGGGCCTCTGGCACAGCCTCGAGTTAACTCCGGGTAATGGCCAGCCCCTCCTTACTTACCCCTGACTTGCCTCCGCTTGCCTGTTCTGCCCCTGCCCTGCAGGTAACCTGTGGTACAGGCAGGGCCTGACCCCCAGTTACCCCCAGGGCTCGTCATGGGAGCACATCTCCAACAACGTGCGCAAGGTCTCCGTGGGACCCCTGGACCAGGTGAGGCCTGCGGCGGGAGGGGGTGCTGGCTTGGCTCTCCGGTGCCCTAGCAGATCTGCTCCAGAGAGGTTCACTGACGGTACAGCCCCCACTTGCAGGGGTGAGAAGGGCACGCTGAGATTGTGGTCATGCTCTGCTTAGCTTAGAAAGCTACAAACATGTACCTCGTGCTTTCTGAAAGCCAGGCATTACTGGGAAAGAGATTCTGTAGGTGGACTGAGGGCTGAGTGTCTGGTAACCGTGATCAACGTTGAGCCGATCTGCCAGACTCCCCGCCCTTCAGTTTGGTTTGCACTGTTTGTCTTTGCTCCGGTTTGTTAAGCCTGGTAGGTTTTCCACGCCACAGTGTAACGAGGTAGCAGAAAAGGTCATGGTTAAACATTCCCAGTCCCATTTCCACTGATTAAGCTCGATTCCGGGGAGAGTATGTCCTGCCCTGCTCTTGAAGGAAAAACAAACAAAGAAAATAAGTCCTGTTAAAAAGAAAGAAGCAGGTCTGCTGCTGGAGCCACCTCAGTGTTGTGGGCTGTGCTCATCCCTGCTACTTGTACAGGACTCTGAAAATCACCTGCAGGCGTCCTCCGTAAGGCAGCTAGCACAGCCCTGTAGTTCCTTCTCTCTCGATAGCAAATGGCTGTTTTTTCACTGTGTGGAAATGTATTTTAGTTCCTTCGTCTTCAACTTAATCTCTTTTATTGTGTAACTTTTCTAAAATGGATATCAAACAGATCAAGTCTTTTTTTCTTTAAAAAAACAATTTTTGGGGGCAAAAGCAGCTTTGTGTGGCGATGAGCTTTTTCTGCATTTGTCTTCATCAATGTCAGATTTGGGCCTTGTTTTTTTACCTCGCTGATTGTTCGCACTGGAGCTGTTCCTGGCTTGTGAACCCCCTGAGCTCAGCTGTCAGAGCCACAGCCCAGGCCTCTCAGGAGCGAATGCTGCCTATCCTATCGCCGTGCTGATAGTGCTGTCTCAGCTGGCTTGCGGCCCTGGGAATGTTTCTAGGAAGTACAGGTGAAGGTCCCTGTCAGAGGAAGAGATACAGACACCCCGGCCTCTCCTTCCTTCTCTCTTCGTGAGAAAAGACCAGCTGGCCATATTTCATTAGTGAGTCCGACCTGCACTGACCCTGCTCGGCTTTGTGTTTTCTAACTTCCAGGTCTGGATAATCGCGGACAAAGTTCAAGGCAGCCACAGCCTGAGCTGCGGTACCGTCTGTCACCGGGTCGGGGTCCAGCCTATGGAGCCTAAGGGCCAGTCGTGGGACTATGGGATTGGAGTAAGTCTACACCGAGAGGAGCGGGAGCAGTGCTGAAATAGCGTTAGGGCAGAGTCGAGCAGCTGTGGACATTCCCCTTTTCAGAGATAAGACACAAGTTGGTTTGTGTCTAGATCCAGTGCCCGGAGCACAAGGTGAACAATACAGGGTTGGAGGAAGAGGGTGTGAGGGAGGAGCTGGCACGACTGCAGGAGAATTACCCTCATCACTATACTGGGGCATTAGGACCCCCACAGACTGCAGGGTGAGCGCCCCGTACTGGTCCCACTAACACTAGCCTTAGCTTTCCCAGGAGTCTCCCCTCCAGGCAGTGGCCAGGCTCTCGCTGCTGAGCTCCAGCAGGCTGCCGGGTGCGAGCGGCAGGGTGGCAGATGCAATGTGATGTTCTGGGTGTGCTCTGTCCTCCAGGGTGGGTGGGACCACATTTCGGTGAGGGGGAACTCCCAGGATGCGCCGAGGATCGTCATCCCTTCGGCAGCGCAGGCGGCTGCAGGCAGGCCCAGCGGGAACAGGGCCCAGCTGCAGCTGAAGGAGCAGGAGGAAATGAACGGAAACGCAGTCAGCTGCTAGTCTCAGTATTGTAGCTCTTAGTCTGTGCAGCTCGAGGTAACACCCCTCTCCCCTCTTTCCCTGGGTACCTGACATCTTCCGCCGGTGATGTTCTGTTGCTCCTGACAGATCCCTGTCCTTCTGATCCTATCCTGCCCTCTGTCCTTATACCCTCCTTTCCCAATTTCTCTTCTTTCCCAAGACTTTTTTATGGTTTTATTTGTTGATTTTCTGTTTTTACCCTTTTCCTCACAGAGAGACTGAAATAACTTTTAAAAAGTTGTGCGAACCCCATCGTTTGCTGTCGAGATCAGTTTTTTTCTCTGTCTGAAGTTAGCCTTGTGTTTATTTATTGACGTTATTTTGTTTGCTTTGAGAGAGCGTGTTGTTGTCTGTCCCTTTGGAAACTACGGGGTGTCTGTCAGTCGAACCTTTAGACTAACAACAGTGTGGTGCCGGAATCGATGTAGCAACATTTCAGGTAGCTCGGGTTTAAGACAGCCAGCTCCGTTCACACTCCAGTGATGAAATACGTCTGCAGTTTCCTGACAATCAAACTGAGGGCAGGAACACATTTTTAAAGAATCACTTTGAGTTTTGGTTTTTAAATAGGAGGGTGGGATTTTTTTACGTTTTTTCTTTTTTTTAAATAATTCTAAATGTGATGCCTAACAGAGCCCAGCTGTACAACTACCAGATGAGTCGACACATCAGGGAAAAAGAGACTAAACGTTTAGCTGTACATTCCTGTGGACTTCACCTCTGACTAGGTCTGCGCCCGTTGAACTCCTCCTTCAGGTGCAGCACGCAGTCGTGATTTCCAGATCACAGCCTTTTCTTCCTCCTCCAGAGTGAGTTACTACCTACTCCTTTTCCACAATGCATTTTTGTCCAGGTCACCCCCCCCCCACTGTGGGGAACAGGCAGTAGCATCAACTGTCACGTTAGCTTTTCGCATAAAAAAACGAGCAAATATTTGTATGGAAAAACAGAACAGGGTGTCAAGCAGCTGGTTCGAAAGATGTGGTTATCTGTATGCTGGTGAATGTGCTTGCACTGGGCACCACACATGGAAATGAGAGAAGAACAACGCTAGACCTGGTGTAGCAGCAGGGATCCCCCTTTCTCAGTCTCAGGAACTCCTCTTCTCACCACATCGCAAGTCTGAGTGCGCTGATCCAGAACTACGTGTGTGTGTGTGTAGAGACAAACAGAGTCTGTGTGTTCTAAGGGTTTTCAAAGACAAAGACTTGTTTATTTTCATTTTAATGCGTTTTTGTCTTAATTAATTACATTAAGACCACAGTTCCCCAAAAGCACTTTAGTATCATCGATGCAAGGGATAAAATAACTTAAGTTTGCTTCAAACGTGCACGTAGAAGTTGAATTTAGGAAAGTCAAAATCCTGCATTTCAGACATTAACCAAAATATTCCAAGAAAGAAAATGCCCCTCCAGCATTAGGTGTCTGTTTCAGAGAGAGCTGTTTAGGTTCAAATCTAAAATCACATGAGATAGTGTGAGAATTTTAAATGTGGATGTGCAACTTTATACAATATACCGTATTTTAAAGACGTGGTTACCAAGTACCACTGCTTGTAAGCACTGATGCATCTATAGTGAGCTCGGGGCGGACAGTGGAAATCCGACTGCATTTCAGTTACTGTACATCAGATTGTTTCATAGCGATATCTGTTGCATTCCAATCAATGATACCATGAGCTTGGTTCCCCTTGTGGTTCTGTTTGTAAGCTAAAACAAGTCACAATGATTTTTCAGACTGTTATCACTAAAGAGAATAATCAGATACAGCAAACGGATGTATACTGGTGCTGTAATATGTGCACAGACTGTCCCCAGGAACCTGCATGGATAATATGTGCTTAATAAATGTTTTATTGTTTAAGCCGTGGGTCTTGCTGTGGTCTCTGAGTGTTCAGTCCCAGCAGAGGCTTCTGAGTAGCTTGCAGACCAAATGTACAGGAGCCATTGTAAAAGCTGTCTGTGACCTCATGATTACACAGGACATTTACTTACACCAAGCAGGACAGCAAGCTGAGTAATATATACATAATGTGGATGCTATTTTTTTTGTTCTGCAAAAAACAACTGCTGGTAACCAAAAAACATTTGATCAATTTTTATTTTACAGTATTTCACCATGTAAATGCCAAAAGATGTACACAGAACATTTAAAATAAATGGCACAGGTTAATTCACTAGTATTTTAGGGTTTCTTAGGCTTGTTATGAATTCCATTCAAATACTGTTTCTATTTTCTAGCGTTTGCCTTTGAGGTCTTTTGGGGAGTGTCCATGATTAGCCCAGCGTGGTATCTCGGCAGAGACAACTGTAATTGAACTCATTTACATGAAGCTGTTTAAACAGGGTCAAGAACCTTGACGGCTCATGACCGTGGTTCTTCAGACATGGTGATGTGTGTGTGGAAATCATTCAGGATCATTTTAGCACAACACAAATCTACAGCGTGATTCCCATACAAGTACAGAGAGAGAAAGCAGTCACATAATGTAAGTCCTTAAGCTTTTCAATATTAAACATCCCATCTTTAGACCATTTTATGCACTCCAAAATGTATCTAGCAATTCCAGAAACAGACATATACTACAGATAGCTCTGATAGCTCCAGAATACGAGGCTTAAAGACTATAACATGGATTTTTAAATAAATTACCATTGTTTCATTTGGGTATGATGGCATGTGCTACAATCAGTCCATCCTGCTTCATCGCTGAATTAAAATCATCTACCTTGAAGCAGTACTCCATGCTTGCCTTCAAAGGATTAACGTTTTTCACTCGCATGCCAAAACCACTGCTAACAGCCGGAAAAACACCCCCTAAAAAAAGCAAGAAACAGCACGGCGACCTAGAACACCGGCCCAAGGAACAGCACGGCGACCTAGAACTGGCCTATAAAATGGACAGTTTAAAAGGCACAAACATCTTGAGATCTATAAAAATGCACACATGTACAACACTCCACTGGAATGGTGAATTCCATAAATACAGTGACCTAATAGTCCAAAACCGATTTCACTCAACTTGCATTTAATGCTTACAGGAAAATTATTAAAATGCAGAAACTGGTTAATTTGAGTTACAGAACACACCCTACTTTCTGGGCCTGTGTCAGCCAGTGAAAGCCAGTTAAGGTTAATACACAAGCCTAAGCAACATATAACAAAATGTGCTGAAAGATTCCAGGGAACATGTTTTCATTGCACCTGAGATCTTCACGGCCTACATGAGCTCAAGTGGTGCAACTGCTCAGGTTTTCAATGGCTGATAAAGAAACCTTCACCATACAATCAGCAATTTACAAGAAAATAATTTCAGATGCATAGAGCATCTCTGGAACTAATAGATGTTTAAAGAAGAGTCTATAAAACACTTATAACAGGTTTTCACAGCTGTGATTCAATTAGTGGCTGTCAGATCTCCTTCAGATCATCCCAGATGCCTGCTGCTTTAACGATGTTGCCAAATTACAAATTTAGTTGGGGTGGTGTTTTTTTTTCTTTTTGAAGCCACTAGCTTGTACATTTGATAGGAACAGGAAAATGAGCTCTAAGTGGTAAAGCATTTCTAAATCTTTACAAATAACTGCATCAGGTCAACTTTCTTCAAATCTGTGGAGAGTTTTGACAAAACAAACATTCACATTTGAAATCATTTGACGACTGAAGAGCAGGATATCTTCATTCACAACTACAAAAGGACCAAAGAGATCCATACACCAGCAGACACACATGAA